CTACTGGCGGCAGCAGCGACGCCAGTTGGTGCACCGGGTGCTGCTTGGCGGCGGGCGCGAGAGGTGGGCAGGGCGAGGGGGCCGGTCTTCTTGGAGCGAGTGTTTCCTCCGCTCCTGAGAGCTCGGGGCGCCCCCCTCGGGGCTCCAAAGCCGTGTGGTGACGGAACGCGTGGTGACCTCGGAACGACCTCGTGACCGCGTGTGGTGACCTCGGACTCCGCGCGGTCCGTCTCCCGACGGTGCTGGGACCTCGGAGGCCCCAATCGCTCGAAGTATCCTCGGAGACCGACTCGAGTACCAAAACCGCGTGGTGACCCCGACTCCCCACCGACTCACCACGCGGTGTGGTCACCGCGCCGCACTTGCCCCCCCGACCTGCAGGGGCCTGATGGCTTCTCAGAGTCTCGATGTGGCCCCCCGCCCTCTCAAAACGCCAACCCCCCCTCGCCACGGCCCCCTCCTGCTCGCCGCCAGACTGTGCCGCCGAGTCTCCGGCCTCGGCTTCCTGGCGCGCCTCCTCTCGACGGCTGCCAACAAGAGTCTTTGGGCGAGTGCGAGCATCGCTTCACCGATCCCTAACCCCCAGTGGCGTGGCCTGGGCTCCACTGGCCGATTTCCCCCCCTAGATGGGGGTGTGGGCCGTTCACTTCGGGCTTCGAGGGGTCTATCTCCAACTGGGGTGGTGGGATGGTGGGGCTGAGATTCCATGGCCTGGCAAGGAAGAGGATTCATCAAACCATAACGAAAATGAGCGTGGTCCCAACGTCCGGGCCCTCGGGCACCTCGGGCCAGGCCCGCTTCTTTCCAAGACCCGGCCTCCTCCCAGGGGCCCAGCGGGGCCGAGAAACGGCCCCGCCACTAGATGAAGAACTACTGGCATAGAGATGAACTTCTGGAGGTCCGCGTTGGAGGTCAGGTCCGCGCGGCTGTCTTGGACCAGCGCTGGACCCCCATCCCTGGCGCGCAGAGCGCGCCCAGGAGGGGGCGGCGCCGGAGGCGCCGCCAGGGCCGCCCAGCGCCGATCCAAGAAATCCGCACGAAGCTCCCAAAGTTCATGTTCATGCCATGTTTTTTTTTCCCCCGGCTGTTGTTATTAATGTTATGTTGTTGTTTATCATTGTGTTTATGATTCGTATGATTGTTATTAATTTTATAAGTATCATTACTAGTATTACTATTATTAGGGCTAATATCATTCGTATTATTATTATCATTATTATTAGTATTATTTTTATTATTGTTATTATTATTATTATCATTATTAGTAGTATTGTAATTACTATTATTGTTAGTATTATTATTAGTATTATTATTACTATTATTATTATTAACATCACTATTATCATTAGTATTATGTTTGTAATTCTTCTTATTCTTCTTCGAGCCAGACGAAACGCGTCTCGGCAGCTCAAGACGTTGACGGACTGCGGCCGAAGGTCCTCGTACAGCGACCACGCCTTGCCGGCCTCGCCCTTCCGGTTGAGGCGGTCGGCCTCTCCCCAAATTCTCAGCAAATCCCCAAAGACCCCATCGAGGCCTCCAGGTCCAGAAGGCCCCCAGAAGTCTCCAGCAGGAGCCCCCCAGAAGCTACTGGAGGCCTGGAAAGAACCAAGCATGTTCAAAACATTTCCGAAAGGTTAAAATTTCGAGGACCTCGACGACGACGAATACGAATACGACGACGACGAAGACGACGACGACGACGACGAAGACGACGACGACGACCACGACGACGACGACGGTGACGACGACGACGATGCGGACGAGGACGACGACCGAGGTCGTCAGCCTCGCCCAGCTTGAGCTTCACCTGGCCGCAGCGCTCGCGCTCGCGCAAATAGCCAACCGCCGCGGCCGCCGATCGGCGGCGCCCCAAAGCCGTTGCCGGGGCAGCGGCGGCCCGCGCCACCGCGGCCAGGACGCTCATTGCACCAGCGACGAAGGGGCACCGTGCCCTCGGAGGCGCTTCGGAAGCGCTCGGAAGTGCTCGGACGTGCTCGGAGGCCTTCGGGGGCGCTCGGAGGCCCTCGAACATCGAGGGCTTTCGGCAACGCTCCTGCCAGAGGCCTCCTCCGAAGCCCAGCGACCTCAGGAGCAAAACGCCAGAGCCTGCACAGCGCCAGCAACGAGCAGGGTGGGGCGTGGCCTTCTTCTGGCCTCTGGAGGCCTCCAGAGGGCCCAGCCGAAGCCTCGCTGCCCCCGGGGTGGTTGCGAACTGCCGTTGTCGCCACCCTCGTGGGCTCCTGGGAGGTCCAGCGGAGTCGGGGGCCACGCGCACCCAGCCGAGACCTCGCTGTTTCCCGAAGGGCTGCGAACTGTGCGAGTGTCGCCACTCTCGTGGGGCCCCTGCCTCGCTCGGCAGGTCGCCTCTCGTGGGGCCGCCACTTCCTCTCATGGAGGCGTCGCGCCTCGGCAGGCCGGCGTGGGGCCTCTTGGAACCCTTGGATGCCCTCCGAGGGCACCGCGCTGGTGCCAGTCGGGGGCGGGCTTCTCGAGGGCGGCGCCCGAGCCAGAGTGGCTGCGGAGGAAGAGGGGGGTTCGAGGGGGCAAGAAATAGAGGGCAGAAAATCCACCCGCATAATAATCACCCCGACACTCGAAGCCGTTTAGTGAGTGCACCCACAGAAGGAATCGAACAGGGCAGGGCTGTTGAGTAAACGCGCGGAGCCGTTTAGTAGACGCCAAATATCGGGGCTGGGTGGATTCTCCTCCCTTGAGAAACGGAGAAACGGAGAAACGGGGGGGAGGAGGGGCACGCAGCCTGAAGGAGCCCGTCGCGCAGCGCGCTGACGGCCATTGAAGGGCGGCTCAGGTCCTGCGAGCCCGAGCCAGCGCTTGCTCGTTGCCGACCCCAAGACGCCCACCCAAAAAGGGGATCACGGCGGGGACGGCGCACAAGCACAGTGCAAAGCACGCAGGGAGATTTGGTGAGCTCAAGCGATAGAAACAGAGAACACGTTAAAGCTACAACCAGTGCAACTCAGGGTCCGAAAGCTGCAACCTGCGCTGGCAATCAGAACCGTCGAGCATGTGCTGATCCGCAAGGTGCCGACGGGTCGAAAACCTATGAACATGCGACAGAGCGCGATTACTGTATGGAACTGGGGGGACCCCTCTCTCAAGACATGATTCTTACCCGTTGAGATGCCCCCCCACACACGCACATATGCACAACACAACACACACACACCACAACACAACACAACACAACACAACAGACACACTCACAAACACACACAAACACACACGAACATACACATACACACAAGCACACACACAACACCAAACAACACCACACCACACCACACCACACCACACCACATCACACCACACCACACCACACAACACACACAACACAACACACACAACACAACACAACACACACACAACACAACCCACACACGCACACACAACACACAACACACACACGCACGCACGCACGCACGCACGCACACACATACACACACACGCACACACACACGCACACACATACACACATACACATATACACATATACACATCTACACATATACACACATACACATGCGCACACATAAACACATACCCACATACACACATACATTCATACATTCATTCATACATACATACATACTTACATACATACATACATGCATGCATACATACATACATAAATACATACATACATACACACATACACACATACATATACACATACACACCCACACATACATACATACATACATACATGCATGCATGCATGCATGCATGCATGCATACATACATTCATTCATACAGACAGACAGACAGACAGACAGACAGACACACATTCACACACATACACATACACACATAGAGACTTACACACATAGAGACTTACACACATACACACGTACACACATACACACTTGCACACATACACGTACACACGCACACGTACACGCGCACACGCACACGCACGCACAAACAAAAGACACATGGGGACAGTCCTTGGACACACCAACCATTAATGGCCTCGAAACGCAATCGGCGGCACTTCCCCAGGATAATCAACGAGGTGAGCCTTGCAGAGAAATCCAGCCGCTTCGAGTGCCGCCTCATCTACATGACTGGGCAGGAGGTTCTCATAACCAAGCCACCCCAGTCCCACCCCCAAACGGACGAGGTGTAGGATGCGGATTCGGATTCGGAACAGTTGCGAAGCAATATTGTATGTCTTTAAAAAAAACCAGCGCATCCTGACCTTGGAGAGAACGTGACCCACCGCCGCTTCACGGTGGAAAATTACCCTACCCTCTTCCTCCGGAGCCCGGGCCCCCCCCCTCTGAAAATCCCCACCCACCCTGCTCGAACCCCCCCCCTCCCTTCCCCCGGCAAACACCCCCCCCTCCCTCTGTCTGAAAAACCGGGCGGGGGTCACTATCGCTTCGAACCACCCCTCAAGAAAACAAGGGGGGGGGCGTCACTACCGGTTCAAGCCCCCCCCTCCCACTCGCCGTCGTCAAACGACTCCCAAGTCCCCACCACCGTCCTCACCACCGCCCGCACCGCTGTACCCACCACAACCGTCCCCACCACCGTTGTCCCACTGACCCCAGTGTTCCCACCACTGTCCCCACTGTCCCCACCAGTGCCCCCACCACTGTCGCAGTGTCCCCACTGTCCCCATCACTGTTCCCACCGCGGTCCCACTCTCCCCAGTGTCTCCACTGTCCCCACTACCTCACCTTAGCCGCGCGAGCTTTGAATTTGCCATATCGAAGGGGGCGTCCAGAAGCGACCTCGCCCTCGATGGCCTCCAAGGCGGCGACCGCTTGATGCCCCCATCTCTCGACGCGACGGCAGACCTTCCTAGCGCGCATCATTGCCGAGCATGTCACCGTCCCCTTATGCTTAGGTGGCTCCAGATCCAAATCTAAAAGTTCGGCCGCGAGCTGCTCGGAGACGAAGCCAGCTTGCTCGACGATGTGCTGCGCCGCGGATGCATCCCGAATCGTCAAGTCGTCGGCGCATGCGCGCGTCCAAACCTGAATGCCCAGGCGGAGACGAGCAGGTCGTCGATCGGTGTCCACCTGACGAGTAGCAGGGTAATCGTCGCGAAACTGCACCCTGGTGACACCCAGCGAGAAGCCCGAATCTAATATGACGAGACGCCGTCCCAAACAAGCCGTGGACTCGCGCCGTGCATCCCCAGCGCCGAACACGACAACAGACCTGGAAAGCCATGGCACGAGCCAGCTTCGACTGCAAGCTTCCGCGAGGTCCAATCGAAACACTCTTCCTTGCCCACAGTAGAGTGTATGCCAATCCGATCATCATCGGGTCGTGGCGCGCGTTCTTGCGCTTCGCCATGCAGAAACACGCGCGCTGCGACGTCCGTCGTGCACTTGCCAGCCCCTGGTGCCAGGTGCGACCCCCCGATCCTGGGCGCCCAGACCGTGCGCGCATGCGTCCAGCCTCAGACAGAGAGCGAACCCAACAAGGCTATTGGAGTGGGCCTTCCCGCAAGTTTTGCCAGGAGTGCCGCGCGCGCGTGCGTCGCGCCAGTGGGGCACATTGGCCATTGCTCGCAGAAATGACGAAACAAATCCAGAACTGCGAGGGCAATACTACTCGCCGAAAGACAAAGTCGAGGGCGCAGTCGATCAGCTCGGACGGCCGTCCTGGCTGGGAAGCCAGTGGATCTGCAAGCCTGAATCCCCATGGGCGGAAGGCGAGGTCCAAAGCCCCGAAGGAGACCGAGGTCACTCCGAACCCCCCGAAGGTCTCCGTCGGCCCAGCAGGGCCGTCCGAGATGGGAGGCATTCTGTGCTCTTCGTCAGCAATCAGCGATGCTCGCGTACCTTCTCTCCGAACAGCGCTTGCACCTAAACCCGTCAGAAGGCCCTGGTCCACTGTTTGGGCGCGCCTGCTGGCGCCAGGAGCCTCGAGCCAAATTGGGTGAGTCACAGGTCCGCCTGCTCATCCCCGGAGCAATACAATTGACCACTGCGCCCTCTGTCATCAAAAAATACTTCAAACGACTTCGCTTCCATCACTTCTTGCTTTCACACACTGCTTCTCTCTCTTGACTTCGTGCGCGTCCTGCTTCGCGATTCTTCCAGGGTTGGGTGGGTGGGGGCGAGCGCCCTCCGCCCCCTTGCCTTCCTCGAGCACAGAAGGCTACTGAACACGAGTGTTCTGCATGCAGAAATACTTGTGCGCCGCCGCCACGTCAGACGCATTGCTCGAGGGCCTGAGAGGAAGGCGAGTCTGGGAAAACGACCCCTGAGGTTTGGTCCAAATGGACCGGCCTGGAACGCTTCCCCAGACAACCCCTCAACCATTTCGCGAAACCTCGGCTTCTCTCGTTGCCGAGATCGGCCTCGGCGCGCCCGGCGCCGCGCGCAAGTCCCGCGGCAAGACTGCGAATGCGGAAAAATTGATTCCCCCAGGCTGCGCGAAGATGCCGACGAGGAACCTCGATACTTCCAAAGCAAATCCTGACGGGGAACATTCAGCGAGTCTGTCTGCGACCGCGGCGCGGATGTGCCCCCACGCGCTGCAACGACGCCGCTGCGGCGCGTGCTCGAACTTCTGTATGATCTGAGCTAGACCATCCCGCCAAAACTATGAAATCCTCTGCGCGCAAGACGCGGCCGACCTTGCAGGCCTCTTGAATGCCGGCGCTCCAAAGCCGTAGAGCGATGGCACTGGGCAGGCCCGCCTCTGCCAAGATTAAGCGTCGGCGCAATCAAACTGGCAGAGAGGCGTCTGCCTCTGCTCGGAGCACCAGTAGATCCACGCGCGCGAGGACCAAACGTTGCTGCCGCGACGAAGGAAAATCCAGCCCAAGTCGAGCGTCGCCCTGGATTTAATCGACCCAGAAGAAACCAAGATCTCCGCGCTCAACCAAGCCGCCCTCTTTCTCGCCCGAGCCGTCGTCGCGCCCCAGTCGATGTAGATGTTGGGGGTCGGGGGGACAGACTCCAGGGCCGCGAACTTCCTGCGCCTTCGGCCCCCGCGGGCGAGCCCCGACAGAAACGGCCGCGGGATAGCGGCACCGAGGCGCGTGATCACGCGCGCGACGCGGGTGGATTCAGCGCGAGGCTGAAGAGGGAGTCGCTGGCCAACCAATAACCGATGTAGGTGCGATTATCTGTCTTTGCCGCTCTACAGGAACCTGCTGGGCCGACGATCAAGCGCCCGGCGACCTCGCCGACGGAATCCGAGTTCCCCTATGCAAAAGAGATGCGCCCCAGTCGCCCCCGGCGACGCGCGGCGCGCGATCGAGCTTCAACGCCTCTCCGAGCCTCTCCAGACGAGCCAAATCATCGTGAGCTAGCCCCGCACTTCCCCCAGGATAGATGGGCCCAGCAGCGAATCCCCCTCGGGGCCCCGCGCGCATACAGACTGCCGCGCGTCGCGGTTCAACGAATGCGTGACCCCCCACTTTTGGGTGGGCGGCTGCGAGCGAAAAGGCCTGCCCAGCCATCGCGGCGCCAGAAGGGCACGTCTGGCAATCCGCGACGCGTCTCCCATCCGTTCCCGGCGCGCCGCCATCCAGCGCGCATGCGCTCATCTCCTCGAACGGGGACCTCTCGGGGCGCGGCGACGCGAACGCCCGCGGCGCCTTCCTCCAGGAAGGTGCACAACCCACCCCACGGCATTGCATTGCAGGTGACACGGGGAACAATTGCGCCCCCCCCCCCCTTCGGCGCCTTCCTGGGCGCCGGCGCGGAAGGATGACGCGGGGAATGATGAAGACGCGCTGACGGCCCCTCGCCACCTGGCCCGCTCGCGCTCTGAAACGCAGCCGTAGAAACGCAGAGACGCGATCGCCCCCTTAGCCGCTCGCCGCCCCCTTCTTGCCCGACCAACTTTCCACCGATGGCGAAGCGGGCTGGGCCCCCAGGCCACGCGCTGGCCCTCCGCCCCCTGCGGAGGAGGTGCCCTGGACCTGCGTCGCCTGTCCGGCGGCGGACGAGCCCGGGGCGCGCCCGTAATTTGTAGTAGCGCGTTTAGAAAAAGGCAGATCGTCAAGCAAGCGAGCACGCCGCCCCGCCCCGCTGGACAGCCGCGGCGTATCAAATATCAACAATCTTTCAACGCGAACCCATGTCCTGGCCGTCCTCCGCGCAGAGCTGGCTGCCCCGAGCTGTAGCGGGATGCGAGCTGGGAGGAGGTGCTCCGGCAAGTAGTGGCGGTGGCGGATGCTGCAGTGGCGTAACTGGCGCTGGCACTGGGGCTGTTGGCTGTGCCCTCGCCGCTGGGGCCGCCGTCGCTGGGGCCGCCTCCTGCGCGCGACGGATTCCCGCCGCCGGAGCTGAGAGGATCGCCGCCTGATTTCCCGATGTAAGTGCAGCCACCGCCACTGATGATGGTCAGCGACCTCCCCAAGGCCTCTCGTAGCTGTGGCACCGAGCCCCCGAATGCGCCCTTTGACGCCGCGACCGCCGAGCGTGCAAGAGGCATTTCTTCTACCATGTGCCCCAGCTCGGCCGGAGCCAAATCCAAAGCACCTTGTCTCTCTTTGAACTGTTCCGCGAGAGTGGCCACCAAGTGCTGCATATATTCGACCTTTTTGACTTGGCGGTCTGTCTGTCGAGGGCCCGCCTGAGGAGGTCGTTCGGTGACCTCCTAACCCTCTCACGTTCTTCGGCTGCGGCCAGGTCGTACTTGGCCAATGCGATGATGGCCCAAGAGTCCTCATGCCACAGCCGTGTGAGGGCGCCCAAAGCCCTCCGTGTCTGCCCAACTTCATCATGGGCTGGTGTTCCCCCATGTGGCATGCCTCCCGCACCGTCGTCCGCCGTGCCAGGCGTCCGCGTCTGAGAGCGTTGCCGTAAGCTTTTGGGGGCGAAATCAGGGTCAGGCTTGCCGCTGAGATCCATCCCGCACGAGAAACAATGATACTTGCCTGGGTAATTGTTTTTTTTGGCCGCACTGGCGCGCCGCGCCGGCGCGCGGCCGCGCAAACCAACCGTGGCTCACGCGCGCCATTGCGTGCCCAACCCTTCGGGGCCACCGATTCTGACCGAGATTGTCCGCCGCCGCCCATGTGGTGGAGCCGTGGTGTTGCTGTAATAATTGTTTGCAAGAAAGACCGAGCTCGCGAACGCTTTCTCCCCGCTTTCTCCCTCAAACTACGATGCCAAGCTGGAATGCGAGAGCGGCCGAGATCAGGCCGAGCAAGCACAACGCTGATCCGACCAAGCGCTGGGAAACCGCGCTGGCCTGGGGGCGATTGCAATATCGCGCTGCGCTGCGAGGATGTCCCGCTGCAAGCGAAAACCTGGGGGGGGGAGAGGAGGGGGACGAGGAGGAGGGGAAAGAGACAACCTAGGTGCGTTCGCGTCAGATCTGACGTCCTCCCCTCCCTTCCCATCCTTTACCATGGCGTCGATCTCTTCTCTAGAAACAACCGGATGTCGAGCAAGGCGATGATCCCGAGAAGGTGCGCGATGCATCGTAGAGCTCGGCATGGCAGGGCGTAGACGATCACGGCAGAGCGTAGTAGATCATAGCATGGCGGGGCGTTGCGTAGTGAAGAATTGCTTCACAAAGCGTTGCAACGCAACGAATGACATCGCACAGCGGCACAGAGCAGAAAATGACATAGCATTGCGTTGAAGATCAAAGCGTAGCATCGCATAGCATGGCGTGGCATTGCGTAGTCCAGCAGCGCATATCCTAGCATTGCAACTGAAGGCATGGCATCGCACAGCGGAACACCACATAGCATTGCAGTGCATGCCATGGCTTGGCACTGGAAATGATGACGCATGCGCTGCAGCGGGACCACGATTCGGAACGATCGGAAACGCGGAAATGAGGCCAGCGCTGCAGCGGGAACACGATTCGGAACGAGCGGAAACGCGGAAATGAGGCCAGCGCTGCAGCAGGAGAACGATTGGGAACGAGCGGAAGCCCGAAAATGAGGCCAGCGCTTCAGCGGGAACAACATTTTGACAACAAAAACTAACCGACAACCCAACTCCCGGGAATCCTGCGTAAAAAACAATACGCGGAAGGGGGCCGAATATTTCCCGGACGTCATCAGGGGAGAGAAAAAAATTCGCCGGCCCAACGGGCCAGAGGCGAGCTAAGATCCCCGGCGACTGGTTAACAATATTTCTAATTTGCGGGCGGCCCCTGGGGGTCCCCCGGTGAAAAGTACCCCGACCGCCGCCCGGGCGCAGCCCGGCCACCCTTTACTCAGAGATGGTTTTCCTCCTGGGTGCGGTCTCTGAGGCCCCCCAGAGCGCGACAAGAGGGCCCCAAGAGGCCTCCAACAAGACAGTCCAAAAGCGCTCCGAGTCATCGGACGAGCGGTCCAAGACGCCCAAGATGGCCTTCATACGGCCCTCGAGGCCGCCGAGAAGCCCCAAGAGAGCCTCAAGAGGCCCCCCAAGAGGGCTCCAACAAGCAAAAATCGTCCCATTCCCTAGGGCGAACGTACATGTTTAGCATATGCGACGCCTGGGGTTCACAGCGTCCAAACGTGCCCAAGAGGCCCCCAAGATCGCCACCAGACGGCCCAACAAGCCACCAAGGTAAGCCCAAGAGGGCCCAAGAGGGCCCCAAGACAGCCCCAGAGACCTCCAAGACGGCCCAAGACGCCTCCAAGACGGCTCTACAAGCGAGCCCAGACGGGGCACCCGAACAGACATTTCGAGCTTTTGGCCCGGAAAGGTCCCCAGGAGGCTCCAACAGGCCGCGAACACGCCTTCAAGATGCCCACGGAGGCCCCCAAAGGCCCTCAGGAGGCCCCAAGAGGCCCCCCAGAAGCTCCCCAGAAGCTCCCAAGAAGCTTCGAAGAGGCTCCCAAGAGGCCCCACGGAGGCACCTTCTCCACGACCAAGTTTGGCCATATAATGCTTCAAGAAGCCATCGAGAGGCCTCCTCCTCATGCTCATCCACCTTCCTCCTCCTCATTCTCGCCTTCTCCTCCTCGCACCCAGAATTTCCGCAATCGCCGCCAAAGCCTTCGCAATGCCATGCAACATCCTGGCGGATGAGCGCGGCGGCGCCGTCAAACAAATCGCATGTCATGTCAGAGCCTTCCTCAAGAAAGCACACCGCCGTCAGCGCTTGATCGGCATCGGCAGCATACCTGCATCACCAGCATCATCATCATCATCGTCATCGTTGTCGTCATCAGTACATCCTCCTCGTCCTCCTCCTTCTCCTTGGCGGCGTGCACACCACACACGGCGTTCGTCCTTGACAGCCCAAGCCTCCCATGTCCAGAGCGGTAGGGTACGATGGCGAGGTGAATGAATCTCTCAGCCCTCAACAACGGAAGGCAACCGAGTCTGTGAACGCTCACTCATGGGAGCCTTAGCGCTCTCAGTGCTTTACGTCACTGTTCGCTCTTGGTAGGCCTCCTGGGCGGCCTCATGAAGCTCTTTTTGGCTGTTTTGGGGCCGACTTGGGGTGGTCGTGCCAGCTTGGAGCACTCTTGCCTCTTAAGGGCCGTCGCGTTCAATTTGTTTACGTCACTGTACGCTCTTTGGGGCCTTGTTAATCGCAGCTCGTAAACAGCTCTTGGGTGCATCTTTGAAAGCCTCTTCGGGGCTTCTTCAGAATCTTCACGGCCGTTTTCGGGCCCTCTGGACCCTTCCTGCGCTCTCTGGGTCCGTCTTGGGGGGCTTGGGCCTGCTTGGGGCACTCTTGGGGCCCTCTTGGGAGCCTCCTGTGGCCTCCTTGCGCCTCTCCTGGGAAGCTCTGAGACTCTGTGAGGCCCTCCTTGGGCCGTCTTGGGGCTCTCTTGGGCTGTCCTGAGGCGCTCTGAAGCCGGTTTGAAGCCCTTTTGAAAGCCCCTGGAAACGTTTTGGGGCCGCCGCTCCCTGCAGCTCCGCACTGCCGACGACCTCTCGGCCAGGCCACCGCGGTGCGCAATATGGAGTAATTGTAGACAAAGGAGGATGATCCGGAGGACCATGGGTAAACCCAGGACGCATCAACGGTGCTGCAATACACCCTCCCGTGCTAAATTCCTATCATGTAAGAAGTCCCTGCAGGCAGTCCTTTCACCGAGGGAAGCCCCCCTTCAGACCAAGGACCTGCCATTCAAAACATCCATCTTTGCTACAAAAAGTGCGGCGGATAACGATGATACAACGGAAAGACAGATATGTCCAACGAGAACTCCATTCGAAAAAGAACCGCCCCCACCCGTGTAAGTGTTTACATCTGGAACTGTATGCCATCACGTTCAAACACATTTCACGCAGGAGCCATAAAATTAAAATGAACCGCCCTCCATGCCTGTAACTGCTAAGACCTCTGAAAACGAGCGAGCGCGACGCTAAGGCGAGAGTCACGTTTAACAAAACGGACCCGCATTCCATCCCTGTACGTGTTGGAATCGTTTCGAACGAGTGTGCGCGGCACTAGTACGAGAACCATGTTTGCAAACGAATCGCCATCCATCCGGCGAGCTGTTGGACAATTCCCATATTCAGAGACATAAAAGGCGAACCGCCCAGCCCGCCATACCAGCACGCCTTGTGGTGAGACGACGAGGAGCTGCTTGCATGGTTGAGGACGGGGTGACTTCGTGGGGACCCTCGGCAGCGGAATGGGGGATTCGATGCGGTGAAGGCGGCAGAGATGTGTTGAGTGACGCAGTCTCACTTTCGGCTGAAGAATACAATGCCGCCGTACGCCTTCTGTAGATGCGAAGGATGGGGGACAGGATTGGGCCTGCCCGTCCTGGTTGCCGCTCTGCCCTGTCAGACCAGAGGCGTCGGCCGCTGAGCCGAGCACCGTTCGGCCGACAGATCCAAGCCGTCGGCCCGACGTCGCTGGCGGCCAGACGTGGTCGATAGCGCAGGGCATCCCCGCTGCCGCCGCTGGCAGGATGGGGAGGAAGAGGTCTCAGAGGCCACCAGAGGTCTTCGCAGTTCCCAGGAGGCCGCCAGGAACTCGGGAGGCCCCTGGAAGCCTCAAGAGGCCTCTGAGGGCCCGACGAGGGCACAGAAATACTCAATCCTCGATCCCCATCCTCCTCCTGGTCCTCCTGGTCCTCCTGGTCCTCCTGGTCCTCCTCCTCCTCCTCCTCCTCCTCCTGGTCCTCCTCCTGATCCTCCTGCTCCTCCTTTTCCTCCTGCTCCTCCTGCTCCTCCTGCTCCTCCTGCTGCTGCTGCTCCTCCTCCTCCCCCTCCTCCTCCTCCTCCTCTTGCTCCTCCTCCTTCCCCTCCCCCCTCCTCCTCAATCGTCCCCTCACCTCACTCCCCCGCGGTCGCGCGCTGCGCGCCCGAGAGTGTGTGGACGGCGACCACCCGCGGATCCTGCCACGAGGCCTGGCGCGCGCCCCCGCGAAGCCGCCCTGGCCTGCCTGTCCCCGCCGCCGAGCGAGACCGAACGTCGACGACGACGACGACAACGACGACGACGACGAATGAGACCGATTAGTCCCGAACCCTCACGGGGCCTCGAGATGGCCCACGATGTCGCCGAAAGGCCATGGCGAGGGTCGAGAGTCGAAGCGTTTGGGCGCTTTTGTTGTTGCCTTTTGGCGGCTTGGGGCGTCCCCCAAGGCCGAGCGGCGCCCAAGACGGCCGAGCGGGCCCCCAGGACGGCCCACGGTGGAGCCGGTGCGGCCGCACAAGAGGCTCCGTGCTGACTCTGCGCAGCGCCACAGGACGGCGAATCCTTCTGATAGACCTCTTTGACCGCACCCCTGGGCGCTCACGGGCATCGTGACTGATTCCCCCAGCGGGCAGGCGAGTGACGAGCGCGCCCCCCCCCATACTCCTCTCGCCCCCCCTCCTCCTCCTCCTCCTGCTCCTCCTCCTCCTCCTCCTCCTCCTCCTCCTCCTCCTCCTGCTCCTCCTCCTCCTCCTCCTCCTCCTCCTCCTCCTCCTCCTCCTCCTCCTCCTCCTCCTCCTCCTCCTCCTCCTCCTCCTCCTCCTCCTCCTCCTCCCCCCGCGGGGTATGCGGGTGGACGAACGGGGAGGAGGCAAAGAGTAAGCGAACCGGCTGCATGCAGCACAGCGCTTGGAGACGACGGGAGCGACAACGTCTGGAGGAATGGGCCCCGCCGTGGGGTCGAAGCTAGCTGCATGTAGAAGATTTCGTAGGCCCCCTCCCATCCCCCCCTCCTTTCACCCCTCCCCCTATCCCCCCCCTTTTGTTTCCCCGAGAAGCGACGCTCGGAAGACATCAATACTCCACAGGTCCAGGTCTTGCTTCGCGTGAGCTGCCGCATGTGGAAGAGGTCGAGCACTGTGCCATGGAGGACCGCGACTGCTGGGTGAGCAGCCGCCTTCCAAGCAGTCGCAACCGGCGCCACACATCGCAAACATCAGAAGCGCGCCACCCCGCCCCCGGAACATAATCGCAGACATAAGACCGCTTTGAGGCAACTGTGCCTGTCGCCTCGAGTCTTTGCCTCTTTTCCAGGTAAGCCTTCCGGCCCAGAATTCTGTGTTATCGGGCCTTTGGCACCAGCCTGAAGGGCTTCGAACGGCGAGCGTCGGATTCTTCACGCGTGAAGACCTGACCAAACAAATAAGAGGAGCGCCGTTCTTTTGGGCTGTCTTGGAGCCCGCAAAGACCAAGCCCAAGGCGATGGTCGCTCAGAATCCGCGTTGAAGTCAATGTTCGGAGGAAGTAGAAGGAAAACGAGGATGATGACGAAACAGGCGGCACAGGAAGTAGAAGGACGTAGAAGGAAAGCGAGGGCGAGGAGAATGATGAGGACGAGTACAAAAAGGAGTGCAGAGGGTGACCCAAGGATGCGGATGTCACAGGCACGAGGAGGAATCAGGAGGAGCAGCAGGACGACAACGCAGGGGGCGTCGTAGTGACCTTTGGGGGCAACCCTGAGGGTTTGCTGAGGCTGCCTGGGGCTGTCTTTTCGGCCTCTTGGGGTCCTGTTGGGGATTGTGGAACCTTCTTGGGCTGTTTGGCCGTTATCGTGGGGTTGTTTGGAGGCTTTCTAAGGCACTATGGCTGTCTTGGCGCCATCTTCGGCCGTGTTGGGGCTCTCGTGGGCCGTCTGGGGGCTTCCTGGAGCATTTTGGGGATCCTCTGGGGACCCTTTTTGAAGCGAAAGCCAACACGCCAACTCGCACTCACAAAAAGAGAGACGGAGGGAGGAAGCAGAGAGAAGAAGGACGGAAGGGAGCCAGGAAACACGAGGGAGGGAACAGCGGAGGAGGGAGTGACGATAGCAAGTTGAGACCAGGACCATCGTCAGGCCAAACTCGCCTCTGCGACAGAGAAAAGGCACGCGCTTTGCTGATCCAGACCAAATACTTTCAGAAGCAACGCACGGTGAACGCATTTCTCCGACTACCCAAGGTGCTTGACACAGAACATTAAATACATGATGCGTGTGCCCATGGGCAACTTTGATCTGCACCCTCGAACTTCAATCTCTTCCCATGATCGTCGTGCACGCCCTGAGCTTAAGAACGGAGACCGCTGGCATGTTCCTCTCCACCCGCGACCCAGTCACATTCAAGTGTTGGAAATACATGTCTGCGCATTTTTCACCCAATTGAAGCGCCTCGGCATCTACACGAAGCACGACGTTACTATGCCCTCCGCGAGGAATGTTGATCAGAACATGGTTGCCCGGCTTCATCAGCTCGAACCGCTGACAAAGAACGTTTGCCAGGTGGGGATTGCCAGTGGCAGCCATACCACCAGCTCCGCCTGCCATGGGAGCTCCAGGAAGAAGCGTCGGCTGAGGCGTCGGCAAACCTGGAGGATACGTCGGGCTAGGCGTCGGGCTGGGCGTCGGGAGGGCCGTTGGGAAAGACGTCGGGCATGGCGTCGGGTAGGGGGTGGGGTATGGCGGGGGCTAGGGCGTGGGGTAGGGCGTGGGGTAGGGCGCGGGGTAGGGCCTGGGGTACGGCGTGGGGTAGGGCGTCGGGAAGGGCGTCGAATTCGACGTCGGGTCCGGCGTGTTTTTGATCCACATCTCGTGCGCTACACCGTGGTAGTGAAATGAAGGACCTGTCCTAGGTTCGTATCCTGCGCTGTCGCGTGTGAAACCCGTGCATTTGCGCTGCAGATTGACTGGTCGCTGGTGAGGTTGGCCTGATGGCAACGATTCGACCAAGGACCGGTACCCGGCTACCCTGACCAGCGTGGCCAGATGGAAGCCACATTGCACGACTGCGAATTGCCTTCGCAATTGGTGTATGAGCTCCAGGTTGTCGTGGAGGAGCTCTCATTGACATCTCCATTGGACTTGGTCAGCTGCGCCGTTTGCCGCCGGCCACCGGGCATGACGGCAGCGCCCAGAGGAGCTGCGACCAGCACCGCGGGGCGCACGGCCTTCGATGCCCCCTCCCAAGCGACACCGGTGCTCTGCCAACCCCTCCCGGACGATGGCGGAGCGGGGAAAAAACACCCCTTCCGGGGCGTTCCTTTTCCTCATTTTTCTTTTGCCCCCCCGACGCCTCCGAAGAAGCAAAATCTGCACCAACGCTTCATGCTGGAAAGGAGGAAACAGGAGTCGCAGTTTACACGCAAGCGTAAGCGCCAAACATGCTGGACCTGACAGGTCCACAAGCCGAATCCTTGAGCCAAACTGGCTGCGGAGCCTTTTGGGGCCCTCTTGGGGCGCTCTGGGGCGCTCTTGGTGACCCCTGGGAGCTCTGATGTGCCATTTTGGAACCCTCCGGGAGCAATTCCAACGCGGTGCTGTTTCGAAATCTTCTTGCGCGGGATAGGCGCTACCGTGCCGCGAGGCGCTGTGTGAACTGTCTTCAGGTCCTGTAAAGTCATCACTGATGAATAATGAGTGTTCGATTTTTTGCTTCCTGGTCCGAGTCCCCGCCAGACATAGCGCGACAGAACTTCTCCTGTCTGAGAAGACTCTCCACCACGTGCATCTTCGCAGAGGCGGTCCGCCACGCATGAAGCAGCGAGGCAGCGAGAAACTTCTCAGGGTCGAGAGGCTAACCCGGCTGAGGCCCAGACTTAGTGGGCCACCGCCCAGATGCCGACTGGGAGTGAGGAGTGAAGGGGTGAGCGTGGAGATCCTGGGCACCTGACTGTGAGTTGACTCGACCGTCACCATAGGGCTTCGCCCCAGATGAAAATTGGCACTGCCACACAAATAATAATGATGTTAGGTCGGGCACGTCCTCCTACAGGCGGATTTTGGAAGGAAAATGAGGAACGCAAATAGTCAAAAACAAAAACGTCTCCAGACTATTTCTGAATATTCCTCCTGTAGAGGGACATGCCCGACTTAATAATGGTGATCGTTACACCCGCCCCTCTACAAGCGCCTGCGCCTGAGCGAACGCTGCCAGCCGCTGCCGGACAACCTCGCCCCCAGCTCCCCTCCAAGCCCTCCCACCCCACCACCCGCTGCAGCCCCTCCCCTGTGAGCCCCTGGCGGGTGGCAAGTGTCACGGCCCGGGGTGCGGTCAGAGGAGCGCAGCGGCCTCCAGCGTCGCTACAAAGGACGGGAAGAAAGAGCGCGTTGCCCCGCCCGCGCACGAGCTCCTCCTCCTCCTCCTCCTCCTCCTCCTCCTCCTCCTCCTCCTCCTCCTCCTCCATTCTCCTGCTCCTCGCACTCCTCCTGCGATCGCAGGGGGGGGGGAAACTTGCCTACACCATCGTAACCTTCTTGAAGAAGATGCAGCACAGGAAGCCGCGGCCACCCTCGGGCGTGCCCACCTTGTCCACGGACGACCTCCCGACGGTGGGGCAGGGGGGCAGCTCCTCGGCGGTCTTACCGGAGCTGGGCACGATGGCGCTCTCCTCCCACGTCCTCTCGTTCGACGCCACCTGCTGGCCGCCGTGGCCCTGCGGCTCGGACGCCATGAAGCCCGAACCGACCTTGGCCGAGGTGCTGTCGTGCTCCTGCCTGTGGCTCCCCGCCACCACCTCCGACGGCTGCAGCGCCTCCTCGTCGCGCAGGAATCCTTGGTCCCGAGGCTCGGAATGCCCGTGGTGGCCATCCTTCTTCACCTTCGGGGAGTCGACCACGATCCCCTGCTCCGCGATGAACTTCGTGAGGACGAGGCGGAAGATGAGGGGCGCGAAGATCGTGGCCCACAGGAGTGCCCAAATCAAGATCGAGAAGAGCGCGTCGTCGATCATGCCACCGGCCTTGCCCATCTGAGCAATGAGATATGCGAACTCGGCGCGTCCCACCATGGCCCAGCCGATCACGAACTTGGGCGGGCCCATGAAGAACGCGCACGACACCTTGGTCAGAATGCAGGGGCCTATGCCCATGATGGACCCAAACAGGAAGGCCTTGGGATCCAGCAGCTCCGCGACTGGGATGGAGAACGCGACCGTGCAGGAGAAGAAGATGCGAATCATCCAGGAGGTGATGCGCTTCGTCTGCTTCACCCAGACGTGGTGAGCGTGCCCTGGCTCCTCGTCCAAGCAGGCGTAGGACATGCCCGCGATGAAGCACCCCCACAGGTGCGTGCCGCAGAGGAAGGTGATCAGAGCGTAGACGATCAGCATCGCCATCATGATGATGAAGAGCCCCTGATCCTTCTCCGAGATCTTGGGCGGGTCCTCTGGGTCCGGCGGATCGATCTTCCTCTTGAACCACTCCGCGCCGGGCAGCAAGAAGTTCTTGAGCGCCCAGGGCCACACGGTCACGGCCATGACGACGGCAACCACCATGAAGAGCACGCCCATCAGCGACGGGAAGAATGTGGCCATGAATGTGACGTCCCCGGCGGCGATGGCAAAGACGATGTTGAAGATGACCAGGGACAAGATGTCGTCCACAAAGGCCGCGGTCATGATGGTCTGGCCGAACGGCAGGGCCAAGACGCCCGCCTCGCCCAGCAGCCGCAAGGAGATGCCGACGCTCGTGGGCGCCAGGGACGTGCCGGCCGTCAGGCCCGCGGGGGATGCCGGGAAGCCGTACGCCATTGCGAGCAGCATGCCGGTGATCAGCGGCAGGAAGGTGCCGAGGCACGCCACGACGCACGCCCACGGGCCCACCTGCCTCGCCATCCCGAAGTCGAAGTGCATGCCGCTCTCGAAGATCATCATGGCGACGCCGGTGTGGCCGATGAGCGTGAAGACGTCGGGGTACAGCTGGCACTCTGAGGACCGGTGCGCATCGCACTCCTTCGTCAGGCACTCGCCAAAGGAGTCGTAGCTGCCACCGCCGGACAGCCTCCGAGGCGCAGGCGCCGCCGGGTCGGAGGAGGGCTTCCAAGAGCGAGCACCCTGCGCCGCGCCCGTTACCTCCGCAAGCATCCCGTCGGCAAGAAGGTCCTCCCCCTCCTCGGCGAGGAGCCGTCTGCTGCCCGAAATGAAGGCGCAGCCGTACCAGTTCTCGCCCACGGGCAAAACGAGCATCTCCTCGTCGGTCAAAAATGTGGGGTCGGTGTAGCAGCTCTCGAGATAGCCGTCTCCATCCCAGGGGCGCGTGCTCGAGTTGTCCACGTAGTGCCTCGTGGCACCAGCCTGGTAGTAGAGGCCGCTAGCGTTGCTCGCTATGAACCCGGTCCGGATCTCGGGCGTGGTCGTGTTCATGAACAGTGGCGTGAAGACGCCTGGCATCCAGTTTGCGGACACGCCCATGACCTCGATGGAGCTGACGTCGGCCAGGTAGCCGATAAAGCTCAGGTCCTCGATGACGCCCTTGAAGCTGGCCTGGAAGCTGCCGTCCTCTATGGCGTGCGTCAGGCTGCTCTTGCACACGTCGACGTCGGGGCACGCCATCACCATGTCGACATGCGCGTGGCCCATAAAGTCGCCGAGTGTGATGGTCACGGGGCCCTCGATACCGTCGGCGCCGGCGTGCGCGTCGGGCGCCGCCTCGAGGCGGCGGTGGCCCGCGGTGCTCAGGTAGTGAGCCTCGGCATGGGCCTGCAGGGCCTCCGCGAAGTCGGCCTCTGGGACGCCCGAGGCCGCGAGCTTCCTGTACATCACCCCCACGGCGGTGAAGCTGACGCCCACTGTGCCAGCGTGCTCGCTGTGGACGTAGTCGTGGGGGTCGCAGTACCCCTCCTCTATCCCGTACTGGAGGTCGTCCGTGAGGGTCCCGTAGCCCTCGGCGAAGCCGGGGGGCTCCGTGCAGTCGATGTACCTCTTCGCCTCGCACAGGGAATAGGCGGGCGGAATGAGCCCCAGGATCTCTGGGCCCAGGACGACGCCCGTGGTGATCTCCAGCACGATGGACGACAACGGCGACCCGCCGATGACGATGATCTTCGAGATCTTGGTCGCACTCCACGCGGCCGTCAGGAAACCAGCGATCCGGAGCATGCTCATGAAGGCGCTGTCGCCCCCCATGGCAGCAAGACTGCGGGGGCCCCGCGGGCTGGCGCCGGCGCCTCCCCTGGCAGACGAGCGGCGGGGCGGGCCCGCGCAGGAGGCCCGCGGCCGCGGGGCAGCGGCGTGTGTGCCGCAGGGCTTGGGCCCTGATGGCTGCGGGGATGTGAGCGTTTTCTTTTTCGGCGTTACGCGTTACGACACTGGGCGGAAGGGGGAGCGGGAGGGGGACCTCTGCTGAGTGCGTCTGCTTGCAGCAGTGCGCCCCATGAGAGAGACTCCACCTGCTCGAAACAGGCGCCAAAAACAGCCCAGACCTACTCCATGGGGGGGGAGGAGGGGTGCGAGGGCCCGCGCCGATCGGCAAAACAATGAATAAGACAACGACGACAATAATGAATGTTGTTTTGGGGGCCTGGGGACCCAAGTCTCGGACTTCCTGGGCTGCAGTCAGGAGGCCCCCAGACGTGACCAGAGGGCCCCAAGAAGTTCCCAGCACGGCCCAAGAGGCGCCGAGACGGTCTGAGAACGCTCCAAGACGGCCTGAGAGGCGTCGGAGGCGCCCCAGGAGAGACCCATGAGGACCCCACGAGACCAACATCATTGACTATGTTGAAGTTGTTTCAGAATTCTAGCGCTTGTACTTTTTAGGCCTTTCAGCGCCCCAAGACAGCTCAGAGGAGGCACTGGGGCGCCGAGACCGTCCGTACTATCCAGAAGGCCTGGTGAGGCCAGGCGGAACTACGTAACCTCCAGGGGCTCTGGGGTGTTGAGCCTCGATTTACCCTGGGGGCCAAGTCAGCCAGGACCATGTGCGCACCTCTGACCGCTCTCTGCGCGCAGCGACAGACTTACGAGCCTGACGCGGTCTTTAACGAAACCAGCCCTGTGACTTCTGCCTGCGAGGTGGCGCTCGAGCTCCGCGCCAGTGCAGTCCTGTCGACGACGTTGATGTCGACGACGTCGACGATGGCGACGACGACCACGACGACAGCCACGACGACCATCTTGCGGACATGCGTTTTAACCAGCTGTTTTGACTTTCATGTTACCTAACAGCGAAGACTGATAGGTTTCGAATGGTCTCAAAAGAAAGCATCATGACTCCCCAGGGGGGTCCGGGCAGGATCCGGGGAGAATCCGCGGAAGTCGTTTCAAGCAAACAATTACACACTTCGTGGTCTTCGAGGTCCCAAAACTCCATTCCCGGGCCACATTCTGAATGCCCGGAGCCAACTGTAGGCCACTTCGTGCTCTTCGAGTTCCCAGAACTCCATTCCCGGGCCACATTTTGAATGCCCGGAGCCAACTGTAAGCCACTTCGTGCTCTTCGAGTTCCCACAACTCCATTCCCGGGCCACATTTTGAATGCCCGGAGCCAACTGTAGGCCACTTCGTGGTCTTCGAGTCCCCAACTCCATTCCTGGGCATGATTTTGAATGCCCGGAGCCAAGTGGGCCACTTCGTGTTCTTCGAGTTCCCACAACTCCATTCCCGGGCCACATTTTGAATGCTGAGGCAGGCTGATGCTGAGGCTGAGGCAGGCTGAGGCTGAGGCAGGCTGAGGCTGAGGCTGAGGCTGAGGCTGAGGCTGAGGCTGAGGCTGAGGCAGGCTGAGGCTGAGGCAGGCTGAGGCTGAGGCTGGCTGAGGCTGGCTGCAGGCTGAGGCAGGCAGGCTGAGGCTGAGGCCGAGGCTGAAGGCAGACTGAGGCTGAGGCTGAAGCAGGCTGAGGCTGAGGCTGAGGCAGGCTGAGGCTGAGGCTGAGGCAGGCTGATGCTGAGGCAGGCTGAGGCTGAGGCTGAGGCTGATGCAGGCTGAGGCTGAGGCAGGCTGAGGCTGAGGCCGAGGCTGAAGGCAGACTGAGGCTGAGGCTGCAGGCTGAGGCTGAGGCTGAGGCTGAGGCTGAGGCAGGCTGAGGCTGAGGCTGAGGCAGGCTGAGGCTGAGGCTGAGGCAGGCTGATGCTGAGGCAGGCTGAGGCTGAGGCTGAGGCTGATGCAGGCTGAGGCTGAGGCAGGCTGAGGCCGAGGCTGAGGCAGACTGAGGCTGAGGCTGAAGCAGGCTGAGGCTGAGGCTGAGGCAGGCTGAGGCTGAGGCAGGCTGAGGCTGAGGCTGAGGCAGGCTGAGGCTGAGGCTGTGACTGCGACTGCCGTTGCCACTGCGACTGTCATCGCGAATGCGACTACGACTGCGAGAAGAGCAGAATTCTACAACTGGATTCTCATCTGAATCTTAAGGGGAATGCTTCCAAATATGCTCCTACACATCGCTGTTAGGTTGCTTTGCCGGGATAATGTTTCTCCGCCTCCCTTGAAACCTCCCTCTAAGTCCATGAACCATATATATATATATATATATATATATATATATATATGGCGGGGCTTATTTAGAGACTAGCCCCTGGGATAAGCGCTCAGCATAGAGCACTTGACCAAGGCGCATGGGAGTAAATTGCGAAGAGACATCGAACAGCAGCCGGTGTCGTTGTAGTTCGGCCTTCGCCAACCTGACTGACTTGCGCGAACTTGGGGGTCTCTCTGACCAGGGCGTCTCAGAGTAATTTGCGAGGGCGTATCGGGCAGCAGCCGTTGTCGACGTAGTTCGGCCTTCATCACCCGAATTGATTGCATAATCAAGAAAGAGCGCCATTCCTGAGAGAAAGGGGTCTCTGGCGGCACGGATGCTTTTCGCCGGGGTTGGCTTTCGCCAAGCTTCGCTTCGCCGGGCTTCGTTTCGCCGGGTTTGCTTTCGTCGGGGTTAGCTTTCGCGGGGGTTGGCTTTCGCCGGGATCGGCTTTCGCGAGGGTTGGCTTTCGCCGGGGTTGGCTTTCGCCGGGGTCGGCTTTCGCCGGGGTTGGCTTTCGCCTGGGTTGGCTTTCGCCGGGGTTGGCTTTCGCCGGGGATGGGCGCGGGCTCCAACGAGCGGGTCGGGTCGGGCGGGCGGACCCTAACGGGCGGGACGGGTCGGGTCGGGTCGGGCGGACCCTAACGGACAGGTCGGGTCGGGCGGCCGGGGCACTGAAGTGCGAGGCGCGCTCGAGTGAGCACGCGTGAACCCTAATGGGCGGGTCGGGTCGGGCGAACGGACCCTGACGGGCGGGACAGATCGGGCCATGTCGGCGGACCCTGACGGGCGGGTCGGGGCGGGCTGGCGGGACATTAAAGTGTGGGGCCCGCCGGAGCGAGCACGCATGAACCCTAACGGGCTGGTCGGGTCGGGCGGGCCCTAACGGCCGGGACGGATCGGGTCAGGTCGGGCGGACCCTAACCGGCGGGTCGGGTCGGGCGGGCGGGACACTAAAGTATGGGGAAGCGGGAACGGCCGAGCGAGCACGCGTGAAGCCTAACGGGCAGGTCGGGTCGGGCGGGCGGACCCTAACGGGCGGGACGGGTCAGATCGGGTCGGGCGGACCCTAACGGACAGGTCGGGTCGGGCGGGCGGGGCACCACAATGTGGGGCGCACTGGAGCGAGCACGCGTGAACCATAACGGGCGGGTCGGGTCGGGCGGGCGGACCCAAACGGGCGGGGCGGGTCGGGTCGGGCGGGCGGGGCACGAAAGCGTGGGGCGCGCTCGAGTGAGCACGCGTGAACCCGAACGGGCGGGTCGGGTCGGGCGGGCGGACCCCAACAAGCGGGACGGGTCGGGTCGGGTCGGGCGGACCCTAACGGGCGGGTCGGGTCGGGCGGGCGGGGCACTAAGCTGTGAGGCACGCTCGAGTGAGCACGCGTCTGGCTTTGCCAGGGGGGCACGCAGCGCTGCCTGACCCTGGGCCTCAGGGGGGCCTGAGCAAGGGCGGTGTGCATGTGTAGGCCAGGCCGTCTGGGACGAACGCGGGGGGTTGTACTTCCAGTGCTGCTGCGGGAACGCAACGGAGCTCCAGCCAATCGGCTGCGGGCAAGACGAGCCAGAGGATGAGAGGAGAAAAAAAAAGCAGCAGCAACATAAAAGGACAGGAGCGGGAGGAGGAAAATATGAAGCGAGGAAGGCAAAAACGAACCCAGGCGAAAATCTACCCAGGCGAAAGCCAACCCGGTCGAACCACGAACCCGGGCGACAGCCAACACGGGCGAAAGCCAACCCGGGCGGCAGACAACCCAGGCGAAAACCAACCCAGGCGAAAGCCAACCCGGGCGAAAGCCGACCCGGGCGAAAGCCAACCCGGGCGAAACATAAACCCGGGCGACAGCCAACCCGGGCGAAAGCCAACCCGGGCGAAAACCAACCTGGGCGAAAGCCAACTCGGGCGAAAGCCAACCCGCTGGCGAAAGCGAACCCGGGCGAAAGCCAACCCGGGCGAAAACCAACCCGGGCGAGACGAACCAGGCGAAACGAACCGGGCGCAAGCGAACCCTGGCGAAAACCAACTGGGCGAAAGCAAACCCGGGCGAAACGAACCAGGCGAAACGAACTGGACGAATGCCAACCCGGACGAAAAACATCTACTCCTCTCTGGCCAAGGCGCTTCGGAGTGTCTAAACTGCACGGAAGTGTCGAGCGGCAGCCTTTGTCGTCGCAGTTGGGCCTTCACCAACTTGAGTGAACTGCGAAAAGGTCTCAAGCGATCGCGGCGCAGCTGACCAGGGCGCGTGGGAGCAAATTGACGGGGAGCATCGAGCGGGAGCCGTTGTCGTCGTAGCTGTGCCTTTCCCACCCCAAGAGGACTGCGAGGAAGACTCTGGCGAGAGCGCCGTTCCTGAGAGCAGAGGAGTCTCTCGCCAAGGCGCCTCGGAGTGAATATTGAACGGGAAACTTTGTCGCCGCATCTAGAGCGAGAGTGCCGCGGGTTCACCTGACAAGCCGTTGTCGTCGCGGTTGGGCCTTCCCCACCCCGAGTGGGCTGCGAAGAAGCCTCGGGCGAGAGCGCCGTTCCTGAGAGCGGTGGCGTCTCTGGCCAAGCCGCCTCGGTGTAACTGACTGCGGGGAGGTACAGAGCGGCAGCCGTTGCCGTCGCACCTGGGGCCTGCACCAAGTCGAGTGAACTGCGAGGAGGTCTCGAGCGCGCTCCGCCCGCAGGAGGGGAGGGCGGGGCGGGAGCACTCGGGCGTTGCATAAGGGGGGAGCGCCAGATACAGTGAGCCCGCAGAGTGAGAATGCGCGACAGGGATGCAAGGGCCTTGGGGGGCAATCTTGGAGCTTTCCGGGCGGGGCGCGGCCAGCGACAGTGGCCAAGGATGGACCGAGGAGGCAATGACGCAAGGGTAACTACCCTTGTGGAAGTTGCCCATCCTTACCATGCGGGTTGACTGCAAAGGGGGGGGGGGAGGGAGACACGCGCACCTCTAGTGCTCCTTTTCAGTGCCCCTTTCGGGCCCCATGGGGACGCCTTCAGGGCACAAGAAATGCACCTCTCTTCAGGGAAACCACAAGGTACCGATACCGCTGCTCCCCAGACCTCTCTCCTGGAGTGCGCTCTGATCTGACCAGAATCTCGAGGCGAATCCGGCGGCGGCGACGAGGGCCTCCCACGAGGCCGACAGAGGGGAAAACGAGGCAAGGGTAGCGGCATGGGTACATCTTCCTCCTCTGACCCCCCGCAGGGATCAACCGCCCCCCCAGGGATCAACTGCCCCCCCCCATTACGCGGCGCCCGAGATGGGTACATCTTCCTCCTCTGACCCCCCATGGCCCCCCCAGGGATCCACCGCCCCCCCCCCCCATTACGCGGCGCCTGAGGCACCAGCGGGAGCGGGGCTCCGGCACGGCCGAGCCGGGGGCAGCGCCAGCAGGAACACAACGCCCAGCGGCAGCTGCCGCCCCGCAGGGGCAGCGGCTGCTTCAGGGCAGGCGGCGCCGGGTCTCTGGGCTAGGAGGGCACCAACTATACACCAACACAGATCCTGGCCAGGATCACCCTGGGCCCAGGATGGGTGTATACGCCCTCCTGCCTGGGGCAAGAAGGCATATACACCGATCCTGGGCCCAGGGTGATCCTGGGCCAGGATCGGTGTTGGTGTATAGTTGGTGCCCTCCGAGAGAGGGCGCTGCGGAGCGACATCCGAGCGACGAGGCGAAGCAGGTCGCACGCGAGGTGGCAGAGCGACCTTGCGCGGCGGCTCCATTATGCGGGCCGCCAGCGCGGCACGCCACACCGGAAGCGAGGGCGCTCACGCGCGACCTTGCGCGGGCAGCTTATCGTAAGCATAAGCTGATTATGCGCCAATGTCGGTGAAGGCCAACCCGTGATTCTTCGTCGCCCATTTGATCTTGTTCATAGAGGCCTCCTCGGTCCTAGATGGGATCGAGGATCGCGCCGCATCGCCGTCGGCGATGCATCGGCCATACGTCGGTGATACATCGGCGACGTCGGCGTGGAGAAAATCGGGCTCCACACCGCGCCACATCGCCGATGCATCGGCGATGCATCGGCCATAGATCGGTGATACATCGGCGTCGTCGGCGTGGAGAAAATCGGGCTCCACATCGCGCCGCATCGCCGATGCGTCGGCGATGTATCGGCGATGCATCGGCCATACATCGGTGATACATCGGCGACGTCGGCGTGGGGAAACTCGGGCTCAACATCGCGCCGCATCGCCGATGCATCGGCGATGCATCGGCCATACATCGGTGATACATCGGCGACGTCGGCGTGTGGAAACTCGGGCTCAACATCGCGCCGCATCGCCGATGCATCGGCGATGCATCGGCCATACATGGGTGATACATCGGCGACGTCGGCGTGGAGCAAACCAAGCTCGACATCGCGCCGCATCGCCGATGCGTCGGCAATGTATCGGCGATGCATCGGCCATACATCCGTGATACATCGGCGACGTCGGCGTGGAGAAAATCGGACTCCACACCGCGCCGCATCGCCGATGCATCGGCGATGTATCGGCGATGCATCGGCCATACATCGGTGATACATCAGCGACGTCGGCGCCGTCGGCGTGGAAAAAATTGGGCTCCACATCGCGCCGCATCGCCGGTGCATCGGCGATGCGGCGCGATCCTCGGACCCCATCTACTGGGACCCCATCCGGGGAAACCAAGAGGTACTCGTATCGCTGCTCCCTGGGCCTCTCCTGGGGCGCGTTCTGACCAGAATTTCAAGGCGAACCCAACGGTGGCGACGAGGGCCACCCAAGAAGCCGAAAAATAGAAAAACGGTCGAAGGGCAGCGGTGTGGGTACCTTGTCGTCCTCTGACCATCTGGGAGGCCTAGAGTTCAGTATGGCTACGAACTGCTCTGAGTCATCGTCCTCGCTCGTTCCGTCCCCGCCTCGGCCCTCTCGAGGACGGTCCGGGGCGGCAGGCCCTAGTAGCTGTCGACCCTGCGGCCCCTCACAAACTTGCCGTGGTACTGCTTCCTGGGGGGAACTCTCCCTCACCCTCTCTCGCCCTCTCTCCCTCCCTTCCCCTCTCTGCCTCTCTCTCTCTCTCCCTCCCTCTCCCTCTCTCCCTTCCTCGCTCTCCCTCTCTCCCTTCCCCTCTCTCTGCTTCCCTCTCTCTCTATTTCTCTCGCTGGAGGCCACCGGGAACTTCCAAAGGCCCCCGAGGACACCTGGGCACCTCTGCGGGAGGCCGGTGCGCTGGCCCCCGCTGGCCCACCACGACCCCAGGCCGGGCTGCCCTGGGCTTCTGGGGGGCCGGGTGTGCCCGCCGGCGGTGGGCCCTCTTGCCAGCCAGGCCCGGTGCCTCGCTTCCGTTGCCACGTCGCAGCAGAGCCACACCGGCGTGTCCGCGCCGCCCGCGGCGGAGTGGCCCACGAAGAAGGAGGCGAGCCACAGCACGTTGCTCATCAGGGTGCCTCGGGCTCCTCTCTCGCCCCCCCCTCCTCCTCCGCCTCCTCCTCCTCCTCCCCCTCCTCCTCCTCTTCTTTCTCCTCCTCCTCCTCCTCCTCCTCCTCCTCCTCCTCCTCGCAATTCCCTCGCTCGTCATCGCCCCATTGCTCTTCTCTCCTCTTGCCCTTCGTCCCCTCCTCGTGCCCCTCCTCCTTCTCGTGCCTCCGCTTGCCCGCCCTCCTACTCCTCCTCGTGCCCCGCCACCCTTCCCTGCCCCCCGTAACCTCCATCTATTCTCCCTCCTCCTCGTCCTCCCTTCCTCCTCATCGTGATCACTGTCATCATCCAAATGCTACTTCACTAGGAAGGGGACACTTGAAGAGTTTAGACTACGGCTCGAGTCTCTATCCCCCACCTACACAGCAAATCCCCCATGCCAGAACAATTCGCTCATTCCAAAAAGCCGGTATTATGTGGTGAATTTCTGGGATAGCCACCCGGGTATGCCAAAAGCTGAGACAACTCTAGCGGCACGTCCTGATATCACTACTGGTTGAAGGTGGGACCACGCAGGAGAAGATGGGAAGACACACAGACATCGCGTGACATCTCGCACCCCACAAACGCGCCATCGCCCAGCAATTTTGCAAGTGGACCAGGGCCCTCACGGCGGCCACGCCTGAAATCAGGAACAACTCCTGGGCGAAGAGATTAGTAGGCCACGTCGCATGTCCCGATGCGTCAGGCACCGAAGCGGGAGACTCCGCCCTCAGTCTAGCATGGGGAATTCCTCCTTCACTGGCTGATCCCCCTCCGCCTCGCCCAATCCCCTTCAGATCCCAGTTCTTCAAGGGCTGAGCAAAATGACAGCGTTTGATTGCTTGTATGTCGGAGCTGAGGTCATTACCAACAGTGCCGGAGAACATGCGGCAACCCGCTCCAGCACAAGCGGTCAGATTTCCATATTTTCACGACCAACGCTGATCGACATCCCTGGCACTACTGACAGACCAGCCAGCACTCTGCACGGTCTCAAGAACGCAGGGTTGCGAACAAATATAGCTATTGATGACGTGCCTGGCTGGGGTCTAACATCGCATAACTAATACGGCGCAAAACGTAATAGTTGGTTGTGCTGGCAACGCGAGCCCTTGAGTCGCTAGGCTGCTGAACAAACCATTCACTCTTAGACGCCCCAGTGCACATGGAGGTCTAGATGATCGGTTACCAAGGGAGGTGCGGTTACCCGACGATATCTCATAGCCCAAACTGCTGATGGAAGGCTTTTGCCTTAGCTGCTCTGAAGGCTTGGTCCACTTGGCGCAACTGAAGGATCGACATGATGATTTGGGAGGGCCTTCACCCACTAACGACATAATCTTGCCTCACGCCTGTCAATACGTATTGTGAGGTCCTTGCCTTTTTGCGGGGAGAGCTGGCGGACTCTGGATCGACTGACCTGCTGGGACCGCCGCCGCCGCTGCGTCGATCTCTGCAGCCTTCTCCTGAATCTGAAGGGTCGTGAGTGGCCGACTCAACGGCACCTTGAACTTGTGGGCTCGGTGATCGACTGGGCTGGCGGCTGAATTTTCACGTCCTCCTTTTTCTGCGGGCAAGAAGGCTGGGTCGGAGAGACCGGGGGAACATGTTTCACCTGCGTGGCACCCGCTCCTCCATCTGGGCCGAAAGTCTCCTGGGGAGCGAGCGGCGTCGAATGTGCATGAACGAGTGGCGATGGCTGCCCAGGAGGCGGGCCGGGCGAGCCAATCCTCGAAAAGGAGTCGTGTAAACTGGCTGTGCTGCTGCTGGCAGCTGGCCTGGTGCGGACCCAAAGGCGCACACAGAAAAACTTAGCTTGCCGTAAGAGAGGCCTGCCTGAGCGACCGTCATAGCATCCTGGCCGAGCCGGGAGACTCTGCTCGGCCTGCTGCTGCCTGCTCATCATTGCAGGCATGAGCTGCATCAGCGAATTGAGCTGGTATTCGGTCGGGTTCTGAGGCAACGGTGGTGGTTCTGGGCCAGCTGGGGCCTGCGGAGGGGCCGCGCAAGTTGGATGAATCCTGGCCTCTCCCCTGGGCGTGTGCATGGGCTGCCTGACTGGAACATAATCTGCAACGCTGGCTGCTCTAGGTCCTCCGCCTCTGCCGCTGCCCGTACCCCCAGGGGCCATATCCGTGCCTGAGTCCTCGAGATATTCTAGCTCCTCGATGCGGGTCTTGGCATGATGCAACTCAAGCCCACAGTTGTGGAGGCTGTCTTCCGCTGTTTTGTGCTCTCTTCGAGAATTCGGTGACGGTCCAAGGTTCGAATCTTTCGCTGATGGAGGTCATGAAGCTGTCTCGTCACAGGCTCCGTCATGCACATCATATACTTCAGCACAGCCACTCCATTGATGATGTCAAGAAGGTCTCGTGTAATACGTTTCGCCGATTGCCCTGAATTGTGAATGGCCATGCAAACGATTACATACTATTGTATTGTACATATTGGGTCTAATGATGTCCATGGGGGCTGCCTCGAAGAAGGATCGACTTTCATCCTGTGGCTCGCAGGCTGGTGCATTAGTGGATAAACGTACGTACATATACTGACAACGTTCTGTCGGGGTGCTGAGACACTTCTTGACGTGGGCAGCTTGGCCGTCTTGGCCGTGGGGCGACCCTTCCCGTAGAGTCTTTGATGAAATGCATCCGCTGTGGCCTGGCCCATAGCTCATAACACACACGCGCCGCCCGTGGTGCTGCTTGACGTGCCTGTCATACTGTGCGCAATCCCATTGAACTCCAGGCCCAGTGGTCCTGGCACGAGCGCGACCTCCTAGAGAGCGAGCCATCGCTGAATTATGCGGGAGTCGCTTGGCAGTTCGCGCAGCCGTCAACAATACATACATCTGCAAGAGTCTCTTTGGCACTCGCTGGCTTGCGCCAATGCGGCCATTTCCCCGTGACGCAGAGCAAACTGCGGGGCTCGAGAGCAACTGAAGAGAGACAATCAAGCGCGCTCAGGGTGGGACCGACTGGCTCAGACACTGGGACCGAAAAGTCAGTACTCGGAACGCTCTGACTCTCACCACGGGTGCCAGCGATCTCGATTCACGCACCTCTCCTCCTCCTCCTCCTCCTCCTCCTCCTCCTCCTCCTCCTCCTCCTCCTCGTCCTCCTCATCCTCCTCCTTTTCCTTGTAAAGAGCTCCGCCCTGTCGCACCCCGAGGCCGGTCGAAACGGCGGACCAAGCGCTTCGCCTGAGTATTCCTCACAGTTTGAAGGGGCCCCAGGACACACAAATAAATAAACACAAATAAAACTATTCCCCATGTTTTCCTATATTTTGAGTTTTTTGTCTTCCCCCCACTTCCCATAGTTTCCCATATTTTCTGGGAAATCGAAGATTAATTGTGTCTGTGTGTTTTTTCCTCTCCTGACAGTTTACCATCCTGAAGCTCAAGCTCAAAACCTGCAGCAGCTTCACGGATGGAGGGTGGGTCGCTTTCAAAGTATGGCTTTCACCCTAGCGTCGCGCACGTCCCCTTCAAACATGCGTAAGAGTTTCACAGATGGAGGGCGAGTCGTTTTCAACATGTGGTTTTCGCCACAGCACCGCGTACATTCGTCTTACAAGTACAAGACCTTCGCGGATGGAGGGCAGGTGGTTTGCAAAATGTGGTTCTCGCCTAAGAGCCGCGCACATTCGTTTGAAACAATACAAGAATTTTGCGCATGGAGGGCGGCTCCTTTTCAAAATGTGGCTCTAGCCTTAGCGCCGCGCGCTTGTTTTGATATTGCAAGAGTCTACGGATGGAGGACGGCACCTTTTCAAAATGCGGCTCTCGCATTAATGCCGAGCACATTCGTTTGGGGAGTTTGCATTTAAGGGTTCTCATGTTTAACGTCTCAGAAATTGTGTTTTGGCAGGATGTCGGACTGTCAGGCCGCAGCGGTGCTCTGGCACGATTCAGGATCGTCAAGACGCAACAAATACGGTGATTCGCGGTGTTGAAGTCCCAAGAATACTGTTCTGGCATAGTTCAGGATTTCCAAGCCATTGTTTTCCAACAGGGCACTCCCTTCAGTGACAGTAAATCCTTGTATGAGGCCTGTGAAGAGGGAACTTGGAAGGAGGCATTATTGCAATATCTTTGATGGGTCTTCGGTTTACACTGGTCCTGGTCCTCCTCCTTATCCTCCTCCTCCTCCTCCTCCTCCTCCTCGTCCTCATCATCATCAACCTCATCATCCTCATCATCCTGCTCCCTCCTCCCTCCCTCCTCCCTCCTCCAGCTGCCGCCCTGGACCGAGGTGTTTGGAACTGCTCCAGGAGCAGCGCACCTCGCGCGGGGCTGGCTGCCATGCGCGCCGGCCGCCTCGACTCGCCCCTGGCGCGGCCGCCAGGCGAGTTGCGGGCCGGCCGCGTGCCTACGAAATGCTCCGGACGGCGCCGTCGCAGCTGCCGTCTGAGGCCGGAGCTCCACGCCGCGGCGCGGAGGCTCGGCTATGCCGCACGTGTACACCGTCCGCCTCGCATGGCCGACGTTTCGGCTCTTGCGGATGCCGCTGCTGCCAATTGGCTTGCTGGTCGACAAAAAGATCATCGAGAGGCCGAGCCAGCGCCGGTGCTGGAGGCGCACGTGCAGCGCGAGCCCGTGCACAGCGACGTCGTCGACAACGCCAGCCCCGACTCCGAGTCCACCGCGGACGTCGTGGTCTCGCCGATCTACCAGGCTGCTGTGGCCCCGCCTGGTGCTGGAGGTCCGCTGGCAGCGCCACCCGTTGCACCGCCACTGCCAGCGCCGCTAGCTGGCGCTCTTGCGGCGTATCTGGGCCCCTGCGGGCACCTGGTCGGCCGCGTGCCCGCGCCGCCTGTCGCTCCGCCCGCTGCGGCGCCGGCTGAGCCCCGCGCGCCCCCGCCGCCGCCGCTTTCTGACGTTCGGCTCGGAGTCCTCGGCTGTCGGAGTGTCGGCATGGGATGCGTTTCGCAGCCCACGGATGGAGGCGAGCTCACCGAGGCGCCTCCTGAGCTGCCCCACAGCGACAACATCGAGGCGCCCTCCGAGCTGCTCCACGACGCGTTCGCGGAGGCGCACGCCGTCCCGTTGGCCCGCGCGGCGGAGGTGGCGGGGCAGCCTGCGGGCCTCGAGTCCGGTCGTCGAACTGCTCTGGAGCTGCCTGAGGTTGCCGCTGGAGCCGCAGCTGCGGCGACTGTCGCCGCCAGCAGCAGGGCACCTGCTGGCCGCAGGCCTGCGAGAGCCGCGCCTGCCGCAGAGGTGCATGCCGAGCAGCTACAGAGCGAGGCCTCGGTGGCATTCCGGCCCTCTAGCAGGCCGCCGTTTCGCAAATATGTCGTGGAATGGGGCATGAGCTTGCAGTGGAAATGGGTTCGCGTAGAGCGGGTCCCAGCGCATGTGCTTCCTGATCTTAGCCGCGAGCCCATACACAGCCGAGTTAGCGAAGAGATCTTTCTGATGCACGTGCGTAGGTGGGTGAATCCAGGATGTCTTCCTGCACCTCCTCCTCTTCCTCGGCCGGCCACGAGGCTATCCCTTTCAACAGACGACATCGATGCTTGTATCGCTGAACGTATAGTAGCTGGCACCAGACTGCAGTGGTAGCCGCTCGGCACGCGGTGGAACGTCTTTGTATGTCAGCGCCTTGTGGCGTTTTCTGACGCTGGTAATGGAGGAGTTTGAGGGGTGGATCGCAGGATTGGGAGGTGCAGGAGAGGAACAGCAGCTGCCGCAGCATGCGTCGCATCCCCTCCCTCCCTTGGTTAGCGCGAAGGTAATCGCCTCCGCTTGCCTCCGCCGTCGCTGTTCGTCCGTATCGCGAGGGTGCGAAATTTTCCTTACCCCGCTCAGATCGAGATGTCACGACATCACGAGAGCAAGAGAGTTTCGGTCTGTGTCCCAGCCTTCTCCCAAGCTCTATTCCGTGTCACGAGAGCAGGAGGATTTCGGTCTGTGTCCCAGCCCTCTTTCTCCCTCTCACATATAATTTTCCCTCCCTCCGCCTCTCCTCCACAATGCCCGTGTAGGGCACGGCACGCGAGCAGAGTATGTCTTTATCCGTCCGTCGCCACCTACTGTGGGGGATGGGGGTTTCATGAGAGAAGGGAGGAAGACGAACTGTTGTTGTCCGTTCCTTGTGCGGCAACGCCTTATAGGAGTTTAGTCGGGTCGGAGTTGTCAGGCAGCCTACGCGCGACTCTCCCCCTCGGTCAGCCCTCCTACCGAGCTGGAAGTTTTGGATATGCGTCCCAGTCTTGCTCTCTCCTCTCGGATCTTACCTTACCTCCCCTCGGTCTTGCCCCTTATCCTTCCCTTCCGGTGCAGAATGAGAGCTACGTCGAGCTGGCCATTAGTCTTGCCAGCCCCGTGCAGTTCCGTCCAATCTGGGGGTATGTGGGGTCAGGACGGGGGAGGGGAGATTCACCAAACCTTGGCGCCCGTGCTGCATATACGCACTGTTGCATCGTTCCCAGTTGCAACAGCCAGCGTCTGCATCTAGTTGAGTGCCGCACCTTCGCGTCAGCCCCAATGGTTAATCACGCTCGCAATCAAAAAAAACCTCCCTCCTCCTCCTCCTCCTCCTCCTCCTCCTCCTCCTCCTCCTCCTCCTCCTCCTCCCTCGTCCACACACTGCTCCTCCGCCTCCCTCCTCCTTGGACGTCCGAAATGGGCACGATGCCCAACAACTTCTTGTTGTCCCAAAGCCGAGAGCGGGCGCTGTTGGCCAGGCGACCTTCTGGCTCGAATGGACAACGTCCGCGGCGACACCGACAGCGGGTCCTCTTCATCATGAACAGGAGCTGATGCCGGTCTTCGTGCCCATTGAGGGGCAACGACAGGGGGGGGCCGGCATAGGGGGGGATGCATCGACCTGGAATCGGCGATACGTCGCCGAACGATCGGCGCTGGGCCCCCGATGGTGAATCCGCACGCTCCTGGGCAAGTTGGGGCTATCGGGCCCCTATCGGCGATCAATGGGCGATTGGGGGTCGATGCGTCCCCCCTGTGCCTACCCGCCCCAATCGTGGCCCCTGACTCTTTCCGTGCCCATCTCGTTCGCGCCGGTCCTCCACCCCCCTCCTCTGCTGGGCTGCCTCGGCCCGTGGCCATGTACGTTCGGCAGAGGCCGGGGCAGACAGCCGCCACCAGCCCCGGCGGCGAGGGGACGTCCCTGGCAACCACCCTGTGCAGCTGGGTCATGAGCGGGATCCACCAAAGGGGGGGTGGCCGTGGAAGGGGGGCATGAGTTCGATCCGTTGGCGCACCGAACTGCCGCAAACAGATTGGACAAGTGCGTTCCACTACTTGCAAATGATCTACTCGCAAATGGCCCGGATCCGCCGCGGGGGATTTACGATCCATTACATCGAGGAGGATCTGTTGTTTCTGACTTTTGCGAGTGGGCGCTCTGTGAGTAGCGGAACGCGCTCGGCGACGGATGCCTCCCGCAAGCCCCACCTATCAGCAACCATCGGGAGCTGCCGGCGGCCAGGCGGCACCTGTTCTGGGCGGTTCGGTGCTAAGACCGATCGAACTCACACACCCCCTCGGGGCACAGCCCCCCTTTGATGACTCCCGACATGAGCGTCTTCGACGTGGCGTACGCGCCGCCGCCGAGGAAACCCGCCTCGGCCTGTCTGCCGTCGGCCGAGGCGGCGACGAACTCCTCGGCAATGGCGTCGAGCTGCTCGAGCGTGAGGCTGGGGCTGGTCAGGCGGTCCTGCAGCAGGAGTGGGCGGCAAAGATCAGGGGGGATGCATCGACCTGGAATCGGCGATACATCGCCGAAGGATCGGCGATAGGCCCCCGATGGTGAATCCGCACGCTCCTGGGCAGGTTGGGGCTATCGGGCCCCTATCGGCGATCAATGGGCGATTGGGGGTCGATGCGTCCCCCCCTATGCCTATCCGCCGCTGTCGCGGCCCCTGAGGGGGGCGCCTGCACAACACCACCACGCCTGGCTGAGGCTGTCCTGGGTCACGGGGCAGGGATCGCTCCAAAGAGTGTTTTTCGTTTTCGCTTGTATTCGCCAAGACGACCTCACAACGACAACGGTCTACGAAATCGTCAAAACACCGCTCAGGTCGAGCCCAGTCACGGGATGGTGCACAGTCAACACTGGCGGGAAGGGTGCGCGATGAGGATGCAAGCCCCATTGGACGCCCATGCTGAAGCGCTTTCGAGCGGGGCTGACCGTCGAACGTAGTCAAGAATGGACCGAAGAGGCAAGGATGCAACATTACCCCTTAGGAAGTGTGGCCGCTCAAAGAAAGGGGGAAACCCTGGGATACACCCCAATGGGGGGCTATCCGGACACACCCATGTCGAGGATGGACTCCCCCGCATCATATATCCCAGGGTTGGGCCCCAAATTTCACGTCCACTCGAAACCCCACGAAGCCTGGGATCGGTGCCGGCACATCTCCTCTCAGGTTACCCATCCTTACGATCGGTTTCGACTGTATACGCCCTCCTGGCCGAGGCCAGGAGGGTCTATGCGCCACATCAGAGCCCCTGGCGGCCCCGGCTGGGCAAGGCCTGGTGGGCGGCGGTGAGTAGGTGGCCTCAGGGAAGGTCCTGCAGCGCCGCGGAGTACTTCTTCCCGAGCATACCTCGGCTCCGAGCGAGGGGGGGAAGTGAGAAGGAGAAGGCCTTCTTAGAAGGCGGCGGGGCATCTCTCTCAGAAGCCCTCCGGCCTTCTGAGGAGCTCGCTGTGCCCTCGAGGGAAGCTTAGAACACTTCGCAAAGGCCAGGGAACTTCCGAGCCTTCTCAGGAGGCCCGCCCCTTCTCACTTCCCCCCGGGGTTCGCCGCAGAATACCAGCCATCGACGACACCCCGATCATGCGGCCGCCAGGGCGCAGCAGGGGCTGGAAGGACAGCAGCATTCGCTTCGTCCCATAGTCCGCCACCGTGCTCCACTGGCACGCTGGGTCGTGCGAGAATGCACCTTGGCTGTCTTGCAGTGTAGCTCGTGCGTGATAGTTCGTAGACCAACTGGCGCCACAGCGTTGAAGAACGCCGCCCCACCTTCTGCTCCCTGGCGCGCTCCTTCTCGGTCTCAAGACTGGCCGAGACTCCCCCGAGAAGACCCAGGAAGGGCCCAACGTGACACCAAGATCATTCCAAACGGCTCCGAGATCCTCGTTCAGATGCCTAGCCCAAGAGTGCCCCAAAACAGACCCCTGCGAGGTCCCAAAGGACCCCCAGGCATCCGAGAAGCTCTCTAGAAGCCCCCGTGGTAAATGAAACATATTACTGAAAGAAATGAAGCCGTTCTTTGTTTTCTGCCAGCGCATCATTTTCCTGCCAAGGCTGCCCCAAGATCCAGGACCCTTTCGAAACAACCCTACACCAGGGCAAGACTGCTCAAAAGAGGCTCCAAGCCCCCGTCGCACGGCCCAAAGATGATGCCAAACTTATTTCTGGGCGATCTCGGAGGCACCATCGGGCCAAAAAGATGGCCCAAGAGCGCCCCAGCGAGAGGTTAGCGAAGGCCCGAAGAACCACGGTCGAACCATCATCGGGCGGAAGAAGTAGGTAGAAACATGAAATAGGAAGGCGTTCAAAATAGATTGGGTTCCGTCCGCCCCCTCAGGAGGACGACAAGGTGAAGCCACTCGGTCAATGAAGTAGGAAGGCGCTTAAAGTAGACTGGAGTCTGGGAATTCAGAAATTCCTGCTTTCAACGACCGATGGGTACCAGGAAGGTGGAACCCACACACGGCGGGACTCTAGTGCAGAACGTGCGAGGGCCACGCGCTGGACAATGCACTTGCGGAGGGCCAGCGTGCCTGGCCACACGATGGCCAGAAACGATGGAAAGGCGTGCGGCAACACGACTTCCTCCTCCTCCTCCTCCTCCTCCTCCTCCTCCTCCTCCTCCTCCTCCTCCTCCTCCTCCTCACAGGAGCCGTCGCGATGTTGCGCTGGCACGACCTGGAAATCCTGGAGGCCTCTGCGAGTCCCGACGGCAAAGGGGACGGCCGCGGGCGGGGACGCCTCGGAGAGGCCTCTGGGAGGGCGGGTCGGCGTCGACGGGGGCTGCCGCAGGCGGCCGGGTAGTTTATGTCGACGCACGTCCTGGCCTGCACGCCCTGCGGGGTCGTGTCCTGCATGGTGAACGCGAAGCCCGCGTTGTTCAGGAGGAGCAGGAGGAGGATCGCACGCCACTAAAGAAGTGAGAGAGGAGGAGAGGAGGGATATGTCCGACGGTCCAGCCGAAAACACCCCAGGGAGGGCCCATCGAAGAAGACCATTTTGCCTCCACAGTGCAGCCTGGAGCCAGCCGCACCGTGGGTCAGCGACAGGGCCTTCCCCAGGACAAAAAGCTCGCCTTCCAAATCGAGGTAGGACAAGTCGTCCTGTCCCTCCTCCTTGAGGCGGCTGCCCAGACCTCGAACCTCCACATCTTCGTCCACACCGAACGTTTTGAGGCAATCCGCACGGCGGAGCTCGTGCCCCGTTGTCCTCGACGGGTCCACGGCTGCCGTGCCGCAGGCCCCCGCAAGCTGGGCCCCTGGCTCCACGGAGGATCCCCCCGAACCGCCCCGACCCCGAGCCACCGAACCAAGAGGGAGCCAGGGGCCCAACCTGTGGGCTCCATTTTGGAGGTGCTTCCCCCGCGCGAAGAAGGAGCCTTTCTTCCCCTCGCCTTGGCCCCATAAGCGCCGCGGCGGCACCCGGGGGCAAATTGTTGACCCGAGGCCTTCGCGGCACCGAGAGGAGGAGGAGGAGGAGGAGGAGGAGGAGAGCGAGGAGGAGGAGGAGGAGGAGGAGGAGGAGGAGGAGTGAGGAGTAATGCCCCCCCCATCTCTCCAAGGCACCTGCTCGCTCGGGGCATTCCGCCCCAACACGTGCGTCCTCGGGGGGAGGGGGCTGGGGGGAGAGCCCGCCCGCGGGGCAGAGGCTGGCAAAGGGGCGCAGAAGCAGCAGCAGCGGTCCTCTCTTCCGCTGTGACCTCCTCGAAGTACCTCTCCCGAGCTCCTCGTCTCCCGCTAGGGACACCAGCGTCAGGCCATGAGCCCCTATATGTGGTCATGGCGGCCCTCCTCGGAGTAAGAGACTTCGGCCCTATATGTATGGACTTCAAGGTCTGCCTGTCCAGCACCAAATGTGCCTTCTGCCGACAAACCGTCTGGCGACTGATGGCTGCGCCTGCCTCCGAATTGCCCGCTCTCTCGGATTCCGGAATCCGACCGATGCGGATGTCCGCCCGCGCGGCATGAGCCAGCACCCGTTCGATAGGGGGGCCTCCCGCGCTCCCATTTGCGCAAACACTTGGCGCCAAAGGTGCGCCCTCACCTTGGCCGAACGTCGGGGGCAACGCTTGCTCTGGCGGTGCTGGGCCGTGCCGCTACGGTCCGAATGCAAAACAAACTCGCCACCCATGAAACGAACGGCTACAAAACTTGCATACCGTGGATTGGGCAATAATCGCACCCCCTTTGGATCCGCTGGGGGGGTTGGGCACGTGCTGTCGGTACGGGTGGAGGGGGGTTGGAGGAGGAGGAGGAGGAGGAGGAGGAGGAGGAGGAGGAGGAGGAGGAGACAGAGGAGGAGGAGACAGAGGAGGAGGAGGAGGAGGAGGAGGAGGAGGAGGAGGAGGAGGAGGACCAATGTAAACCCAAGAGTCATCAACGATGTTGGACTTAACCCTCCCTCCAAGCTCCCTCTTATGCCCCTACAACGGCTCATTTTCATTGAGCGAACTGCCTCGTTGGAAGACAACCGTTTGAAGACCTTGAAGCATGCCAACACATTGATCTAAACATGTCCACGCCACGGATCAACCTGAGTGCTGCGTCTTGACGATCTGGAATCGTGCCAGAACGCCATTTTTGGGACTTCAGCACCGCGAACCAACCTTTGCACCCGCATAATGCGGAACCCATCCAAAACACCATTTCTGATACGTTGATCATGGGATACCGTGAAGCTCTTGCAATTCTTTTAAACGAATGTGCACGACGCTAAAGCGAGAACCAATTATTGAAAATCACTGGCCCTCAACCCGTGAAACTCTTGCAAATGTTTAAAATGAATGTGCGCGGCGCTAAGACTAGAACCACATGCTGAAAAAGACCCGCCCTGAATCCGTGAAGCTCTTGCAATTATTTGAGACGAATGTGCGCGGCGCTAAAGCGAGAACCACATTTTGAAAATCACTCGCCCTCAATCTGTGAAACTCTTGCAAATGTTTAAAACGAATGTACGCGGCGCTAAGGCGAGAGCCACATTTTGAAGAGGAACCGCCCTCAATCCGTGAATATCTGGCATTTTTAAGCAAAAATGAAAAACTAATGTGCGCGGCGCTAAGGCGAGAGCCACATTTTGAAAATCACCCGCCCTCAATCCGTGAAACTCTTGCAAATGTTGAAAGCGAATGTGCGCGGCGCTAAGGCGAGAGCCACATTTTGAAAACCACCCGCCCTCCATCTGTGAAATTGTTGCCATGTTTAAAGCTAGAGGGTCATAAAATGTTGGGAAGTCTCAGGCGAAACGCCTGGCCCGCCCCAAAAACTGGCCTCGGGGTGCGACAGGGATAAGTTATTTATAAAGAAAAGGAATGAAGGAGGAGGGGGAGGAGGAGGAGGGGGAGGAGGAGGAGGAGGAGGAGGAGGAGGAGGGGGAGGAGGAGGAGGAGGAGGAGGAGGAGGAGGAGGAGGAGGAGGAGGTGGAGGGAGAGGGGAGAGCAAGCTCCGTCGGAAGGTTTGTCGCCCATCCCTCGATTAATATCCCACCCAGAGTAGGTCTCGCCGTCGCGGGCCCTCTGGTTTGGGCGCGAGCTCGGGGAGCGGACCCCCGGTTTGGGTGCGAGCTCGGGGGGGGGGCCGCCCGAACCACGTGGCCACTGGGCGACGCTTGCGGTCATGGGCGGCCGCGCCCCGCCCTGCCGCGCGGAGGGGGGGGGGGAACAGGCCATCTAAACTCGAGCCGTCGCAAAAAAAACGGCCTCCCCGGAGTATGAGCTGCAGGCCCCCGCTCTCGACCCTGATTTCCACTGACGGATCCCAAGGCTTTCGGGTCAGCAACTGGCGCGGGTCAGGAAGGAGGCCTCTAGCAAAGCGCTCCTGGAGCTCAACGGAGCAGCGGGCGAGACGACCGGCAGCCGCTTTCACTTCTGGGGGAAGGTTGCCCCTGCACCATGCCGGCCCCGCAGGGCAGTCAAAGTGCCCGTGGAACAGGGTACCAATGCCGCCGCAAAGCAGGCACTTGGCTCAGCGCTGCGGGTCGCATCTGACAGCTGCGGGTCGCGCTGGCGCAGGCGATGTTGGCACCACTGCGACCCCGTGATCGGGCCTCTCAAGGTTCGCTGCTCCCTGATCCCCCAAGGACCCCCAGTGCCGCCGAGCTCCGACCCTTCGCCTTCCGCGGCGATCTCGAGGTGCAGAAGCTCATACAGCGGTCTCCGAAACCTGCCCCTCGCCAGTCGTAGCCTCGGCCAATCTTCGAGACCCCTGCACAGTCAGAGAGGCCCCTGGCCGCAGAACAGGCCCTGCGGGCCAGGGGGGCAGCGAGGGGGACGTCGTCTGCGTTCCACCGCCCACCAGGAACCTCTCCAAGCCTCCAGCGGTCTACAAGCATGAGCCCAAGCCTGGAGCAGGTGGAGATCAGGGCCGCCATGGGGTCCTGGGAAGAGGAGGAGGAGGAGGAGGAGGAGGAGGAGGAGGAGGAGGAGGAGGAGGAGGGAGGAGGAGGAGGAGGAGGAGGAGGAGGAGGAGGAGGAGGAGGGGGAGGAGGAGGAGGAGGAGGGGGAGGAGGAGGAGGAGGAGGGCGGAGGAGGAGGAGGAGGAGGAGGAGGAGGAGGAGGAGGAGGAGGAGGAGGAGGAGGAGGAGGAGGAGGAGGAGGAGGAGGAGGAGGAGGAGGGGAGGAGGAGGAGGAGGAGGAGGGAGGAGGAGGAGGAGGAGGCGGAGGAGGAGGAGGAGGAGGAGGAGGAGGAGGAGGGGAGGAGGGAGGAGGAGGAGGAGGAGGAGGAGGAGGGGAGGAGGAGGAGGGGAGGAGGGGGACCCTAGCCCACGGGCGCGGCTTTTCTGGGGCCAGCTCGGGCCCCAGCCCACGGCCCCGGGCAGGCAACAGGGAACGCGGCGCGGGGGCCGACGGGCGCCGGCTCCGCAGCATCTGTCCACGCGTGCGGGGACCGCATCGGAGGTCACCAGCACCAGGGGGCCCCGCGCCGGCCCACTCCGACTACACTGAAGGCGCCCAGGGGCACACAAACAAATACACACAAATCCCAGGATTCCCCGTATTTCCGAATATTTCCTGGGTTTTCGTCTTCCCCCCGCTTCTCATATTTTCCTGGGCGTCGACGATTGATTGTGTCTGTGTGCTGTTTCCCTCCTGATACACATCGACGCGAGCTCCAGCGAGCACCCCTTTGGGCAGGCGGCATTCAGCTCGAACCGCAGAGACTCTGAGCTGCTTGAGCTTGCCGTTGGCCGGTCCTTACATGTGCCCCCCCCCCAGAGAGAGCCTCGGCCGAAATGCCCGCCCTCGACGCGCTGCCAGAAGGGGCACTAGCATCCCGAAGGGCAGGTCGCAATCTTCAAGCAAACCTGCCGCCAACTGGCGAAAAGAGGAAAGGATACCTGATTGATTCAAGGCAAATGGGCAGGGCTTTGTCCTGCAAGTCCTGCTTGATGATGCGAACAGACCTGGTCAGCTCCTCCCTGGCGGTGCCGGCCCCCCACCGCGTGAAGCTAGACATCATCTATCGCAGTCTTGACCCAGACTGTTGGGCCAGCGCAGGCAGCCTTGCGCAGTGTCGCCAAAAGGAGGAGGCGTGCTTGGGATGTCGCTCCCGAGCACCCCGCCAAAACTGTGCCGCTGGGGTGTGTCACCCGACTAGTCGCCCTCTGCCAGGAAGCCCCGCACGGCGCGCGATCGACGGCGCAGTAGGCCCTGAGAAACTGCAGGGGGAAGCCAGCGCGCCTAGACCTGGCACGTACACTGCGCGCATAGGCCGCCAGCGCATTGTGCACCCACGCGCTCTTGTCACAGGCTGTGCCGGTGCTCGTGCCCCAGAAAAACCGCTCGTCCACCGATCGCTCCCATTCCGAGCGCGGCCCGTGGCGGATCCTGCTCCGTACTTTGGCCCAACGCGGCAGCAGCCCAATGGGCCGCACCCCGCCTGAGGCCGTGTCAAGAAAAACAATGGCAAGCCACAGGGCCACCGCGAAGGGGGTCCGCTCCCAGGCCGTGGGCCGTGAGGATGCTCGCGAAAGCTTCAACCGCTGGCCGAGGCTTGCTGCAGCAGCGGACGCGGGCTGAAGGCATCCCAGCCAAGCCCCGTCGCTGGGCTGAAGGAGGCCGCTGCGTCGAGGACCTGCTCGGCCGAGATGGGTGGCAACTGCGCGCCCGCAGGCCGCCGCAGCGGCGGAACCTCGCTGTCCCTTGCCGGCTTGCACCAGATGGGCACCTTTCCTCTGAAATCTGATCGAGGGCCTCTTGGCCCACCGGGGGGGCGGGCCTTCCTGCGACCCCCCCCATCCTCAGCAAAAACAAGCAGGGTTGGAGGGACGGGTCCCTGCGAGTACTTGGGCGCAGCCCGCCCCCCCCGCCCTACAGAAGCCTGGGCCCAAGACCACCGTCTCTCGCGACTCTCCGCCGCGTCGAGCTGCACCCTGCGAGTGACCTCTTGCTGCGTGAGGTCCGCCGAAGGACCTCTCGACGCCTCTTCTTCCAGTCGGCTGAAAAAGGTGGCGAGCGCGAGGCTTCGAATGCCCTCTACCAGGGCCCCGCAAAAAAAAACAACCAGCGGTTCTGCCACCTGCCACAGACGTTGCTTTATCAGTTTTGGACGTCATATTCTGCAACGCCAAACGACGCATCATAACCCAGTCCTGAGTCACCAGGTTGGACCGTTGATGCAACTCTCGATCCCAGATAGCCTGAAGCGGCACAAACTGCAACTGGCACCTCCCGGACCGACCAAAAAACTTCGGGCCCGAAGGAAAAGGAAAATCTGTCCTCCCTCGTCCCCAGGCTTCCCCATCCCTCCTCTTCACTCTCTCCTTCCTCATTATTTCGTGTTTTTTCCTCCTCGGGAATGGAAGAGAGGGGACAACAGGGAGGGGAGGAGGAGGGGGAAGAGGAGGAGGAGAAGGAGAAGGAGGAGGAGGAGGAAAACGACGAAGACGACGGCGGCGACGAAGAAGACACGCAGGCCGCCGGACCTGTCGCTTACAAATGTGCGAAGGGCCTCGACAGATGCGGCGTCGGCGATGTCCAGCTGGTGGAAGATCACGTTCAATCCCTCCGAAGTCAGCTTGTTGACTGCCTCGGGGAGGGGATGGAGAAGGCTGACAAATTCTATGGGACGTGTGAGAACAGATCTGGAGTGTTGAGATGCTTCCAGAGGGGGTGGGCTACAGTCAGCGTGCTAGCATGAGGAACGCATAATAAGGACAGAAAAAAAAAGGTTTTTCTGGCCACGGCGGGCCGAGGCCACGAACAGGTTCCACGCGGCCCGAGAGACCGAGCCCCTCCTGACCCCAAAGTGATCTTTCTTAGAGCATCTTGGCTGTAGTCGGCTCAGGGGGGATCCAGGGGGCGGGGGCGGGCGGGTCGACAGGCGAACGAAGAACTTTCTCGAGGCGAGCGAGGAAAGCCTTGGAAGCGAGCGGGGCGTTTGTTCCTCCCGAGCATGGACGTTTGTGGGGTTCAACGAGAAACGCAGGCAGAGGCGAGCCAGAGCAACAAGGACAACGTCCTCCTCCTCCTCCTTTTTCTTCTCCTCCTCCTCCTCCTCCTCCTCCTCCTCCTCCTCCTCACCCCTCGACCCGTTGGACAGGGCTGTCGGGCGTCTTCAAGTCTGAAAGGGCGCAGCGCCATCGTCTCTGAATGAGCTGGAGGGGTCGAGCGAAAAGTTAAAGTATATCACCCATCGTTTCAGCATGGCTGGTGAGGTTACTTTCTTGTTCGCAACCGCAAGCGGACGGCCGCGCGGTGTCAAGAGTCGAGCGAAGCCAGGCCTACTTGGAGCAAGGCAGTTGCCTAAACTACGGCTGGCAAGCGGAAAAAAGGCGGAGGAAACCGATTGCGGGCGGCGGACGAGCAACGAAGAAGGACGGGCGACTAACGCGGCACAGCTCAGAAGCCTACGACCACGCCCAAGCGCACCAGTGAACCCGTCATCCTCGGAGGGCGTGCGCACCGCCAACGCGTATGACAACGTGAGGCCTGCGAGGTCGGCGTCAATCAAGGTACCGTGAGCCAAGCGTAAGCCCACCGCGTGGACGTGCGTGGACTGGAACGCGTCCATGACACTGCATGCCGGTATCCCACTCGCAAGAAAGAGTCGTCGAAGGAGCCATGGCCAGTGAAGGGCACGTGCGCTCCTGCTGCGAGAGCCGACCAAATAATATCGAAAGCTGCCAGCCCAGCCAGCCCAGCAGGGCCGCCGCGAGACAGCCGACGTATAACGAAGGACCCACAGGCCCGCGCGCCCCAGGGGGAGCACTGAGGGCCAGGGGCGTGCTGTAGATGGGGTCGCGGCTAACAGCCGCAGAAAATGGTTGTAATACCGTGAGTAGGGTCGCAGCTAACACCTGCGAGGAATGGGTACTACATCCCCGTTACGAAAGTTAACTCATCTAGGCTAAAATTGACAAGTGTGGGCGCTGTGGTGAGAAGTGGTATGGGAGTGATTCTTCCTTGTGGTTTCATACGGGGAGAGATTCAGAGTTGCCTGGAAGTGACCGGGAGTGATCTCTCCCTTGTGATTTTACGGGGGGGGATTTTATCCTGAATTGGTTATGTACTATTAATGTTATCAGGGAGAACCCCGGAAATCTCTCACGCCGAGCCAAGCCGAAGACTGCCGTGCTAGGAGTCTACGGGGGGCCACTCGGAGACGCCCTAGTCGTCAGCGCTCAAGATGAATAACTTTCGTAACGGGTAAGTATATTGCGAGTGGGGTCGCAGCGAACAGCCGCGGAGAAAGTGCGTCAAGGGCGGACCGTGGCCCTCCAGTGCGGGGATAGCCGCGAGGGGCAGCGGGACAGTCGAACTGGGGTGACTATTGTCAGCGTGCCTCGACGCCCCGGGGGGAGCGTCGGCACGTGCGTCGAGACAGTCATGTGTGAGTGAGCGCCCCTGGTGGACGCGGCACTGGAGAGGGGGATCGCGGCTAACAGCCGCGGAGATAATGAGAAGACGATCGGGCCCGAGCATCAATGCGGGGGAGCCGTAGACGGGGGGCGGGGGTGCTCGATGAAGCCGCTGCGTGCAAGCCCTAGTACCCCGGGGGGAGCACCAAGGGCGCGGGCAGAGTGTGAGTGGCGCCTGCTGCTAACACCCTCGGGTAGTGGAGACGTGGTGGAGGGAACCTCAAAGGAAGGGCGACGAGGAAGGTGCGAGAGGCAAGGGGGGGCGGTTGACAACCGCGGTGAGTGCGCACACAGTGCGAGGCGGCCAGAAACGGTAGGGGCCAGGCCGCCAGGCTGGATGGCCAGTGAGGGCCAGGCGCCAGTATGCGGGGCAGCACGGGGCTGCAAAAGGGGGTGCCGCAGGGGCTCTAGCAGTAACCGGGGCCCACTTGGAAGGGTTCAATTCCCGAGCCACCTACAGCGTGCCCGGGGGGGGCGGCAATCATCCAGGGGGAGAAAAGCCGCAAAGTGGCGCCCCGGGAGGGACTCTAAGGCCTGGGACGGGCCGTCAGCCCCAGCTGGGCACGTCCAAGGTGGTATTAGCGCACACGGGAAGGTGCGCAGGAGGAACCGACCAGCCCCTTGGCCACGTGGGGTGGGGCTCCGAGGGGCATCCTGAGGTATAGTGTGGGGCGTCCACGAGTGCCGTTGTGTGCGACCGCCTGCGCGGCCTGGGCGAGACTTTGGAGTACCCCCAGGGCTGGCTCGAGACCGCTGCCCTCCTGGGTCCCGCCGTTCATGTCCACCGGGCGTCGCTGTCTTCGCGCGGCCCTTTGCCTTTGGCCTTAGGGGTGCACGCAGTCCTAGCTCTGTCGTTGAACCGAACGCGGACTGCACCCCAGTTGACCCCAAGGTGGAGTGCAGTGTCCATCTTGAAGACGTCGCACTTGTGACTGAGCCATTCCTTGAGGAAGCGCGTGCAGGACTCGGGGTGTTGGCGCGTAGGGTCGGCGCAGGGGCGGCCCGTCGGCGGGGGATTCTTGGCCGTCCATTGATGCCACACGCCATTGAAATAATCACCCAGGTTCCTCTGGAGCCTTTTCACGGTTTCGGCAGGAGCCTCGCCAATGGGGTTCAGGAGATCGACTCGCTCCAGAGGGGCGCTGTAGATATAGAGTCCTGTCTCTGGGTCGCGCAGGTCTTGTGAGTAGTCGGCTTGGGCACTCCCGTACGATGGCCAAGGGCCTGACCGGGGAGTGGGGAGGTCGTCGGGAATCGGGGTTGTGTGAGTACGTGTGGGCCGGCTCCAGCGGTCGTCGGTCCCCCAGCTGGACCACCCTGTCCATTCTGCCCAATGGCCACCGTAAGGGTTGCTGCGACTGGTCTCGTGGTGGCGACGCGGGCGGCGCTCGCGCCATCCTTCGTTCCAGTCAAAGTCCTCCCGCGCCGCGCTGGCGGCCTGGGGCTGGTGAGGGTACGCGTAGCGTTAACAATATATCACCTTCCTGCTACCCCACGTCTTCCTCCTCCTGCTCCTCCTCCTCCTCCTCCTCCTCCTCCTCTCCTCCTCCTCCTCCTCCCCTTTTCCTCCTCCTCCTCCTCCTCCTCCTCCTCCTCATCCTCCCTGTGCTCCTCCTCCTCCTCCTCCTCCTCCTCCTCCTCCTCCTCCTCCTCCTCCTCCATACCTCCCCGAACACCACCGCCGCCCTTCCTCACAAACAAGTCAGCCCCTTCTCCGCTTGGCTCCCCCTGGGCCGGTTTGTTGGGAACCCTGGGCCGGACCCGGAACCTAAACAAAATCTTTACAAGAGTCGCAGCCAAAGAACATGCCCGCCTAATTCTGAAAACTCCTGGTTGACAGCGGCGCCCCCCGCCCAATCAGAGCTTTGTTTTTACGGCGATGAAGGGTCAGCTACGTGAGCTGATTCCCTACCCTGCTTTCTGCTGCAGGGCTCGACCTAAGCAGTGAGGGTGCGCCGCTGGATCTCCCCAGAGGGGGGGGGGGGGGGGGGCCCTCCCCCTCCCCCCCCCGTTTTCCCGATCCGTCGTCGGGGACCCCCTCTCCCCCACCCCTTTTCCCGATCCGTCGTCGGGGACCCCCCCCTCCCCCCTCCCTTTTCCCGATCCGTCGTCGGGGACCCCCCCTTTCCCCCCTTTCCCGATCTGTGGTCGGGACCCCCCCCTCCCCGCCCCCCCCCCTTTCCCGATCCGTCGTCGGGGACCCCCCCCCTCCTCCTCCCCTTTCAAAAAAAGAGGGGGTCCGAACCCCCCCCCCTCCCCCCTTTTGGCCGCCGACAAATTCGACCCCCTCCCCCCTTCCCCCCCTTTCGCCACGGCGCCCCCAGGCTCCGGACCCCGACCACTGCCCCCCCAAACGCTAATCCTCACCCTTGCCCTAACCCCCAACCCTAACCCCGAACCCTAACCCTAGCCCCACACAGCACTCACTACTCATTACGCATTACTCATTACCCACTACTTACTACCCACAACCCATAACCCACTACTCCCTACTCCCTACGCACTACTCACTGCTCAATACTCACTATCCACTACTCAATACGCAGTACTCACTACTCAATAATAACAACTCACTACTCACTACGCACTAATCACGAATCACTACTCACTACCCACTAACCACTATCCACTACTCACTACGCACACTTGACTACTCACTACTCAGTGCCCACAACACACTACTCACTATCCACTACTCGCTACCCCCTACTCACTACACAATACTCACTACTCACTACTCACTACTCGCTACTCCCTACGCCCTATTCGGTACACAATACGCACCACTCACTACCCACACATCACTACGCACTACGCTCCCACTACTCACTACTCACTACTCACTACTCCCAACTCACTATTCACTACCCAGTACTCAATATTCACCACCCACCAAACACGACCCACTGCCCACTACTCACTACTCACTACCCACGGCCCATTATCCACTACTCACTACTGAGTACCCAAAGTTCACTACTCACTACACACTGCCCACAAGTCACTACTCACTATCCGCTGCTCGCTACTCGCTACTCCCTACTCTCTTAACAATACTCACTGCTCACTATTCACTACTCGCTGCTCCCTACTCTCTACCCACTAGCCACGAGTCGCTACGCTACTCACTACTCACTATTCAGTACTCACTACTCACTAGTCACGACGC